CAATAAACTGGGTGACGCAACTCACTAGCGCGTTGGATCGACGGAGAGCACCGATACTCGGCACGCTCTACCGTACTCTCTCGCTCGCACACCTCCCTCCCATAGACCACCGAAATTCCTCGGCACCCGTCAACACCGACGGAGAGCACCGATACCGCGGCACGCTCTACCGTACTTTCTCGCTCGCACACCTGCCGCCATAGAATTCCTCGAATTTCCCCCTGAATTTCCTCGGCACGCGTCACACCGACGGAGAACACCGATATCGTGGCACGCTCTACCGCTCTCGCTCTCTCCCGTTCGCTCGCTCCGACCATTTTCGGCATCGTTCGGTACGCGTCGACACCGATGGAGAACACCGATACCGCGGCTCGTTCTACCGCTCTAGAACTTTTACAAAAAGCGCGGGAAATTGGACAACTTCGAATGTGGCGCAATCTGGTGGCGACTGTGGGAACTAGATTAAAAAGTTCTATATTCAGTTCTGAATTGAAACTTCATTAAAATTTTAGCAACTTTTTAATATATTTAATTTTAAGCAGTCCAACATACTATAAATGCTTAAAGTTTTCAATCTCCCAGAAATTTCTAGTAACTTTCTTTTGGAAATTGTACTGTGTTGGCTGCACACACACGTATAAAAGACGTCAGTGCCAGTTGGCACCACAAGCAATATGATCATACCAATTAAAAAGTATGTTTACGTTTATTTAACTGTTTAAACAATTTAAATGTTTTGAACATAATAAATATAATCGACAGGTTTCTTGATATTTTAGGGACGGTGAAATCGAGGAATGGGCAATTGTTGAACTACAAGGTGATCTAAAATACGATTCTGCAGATATTACAAATAAATACATAGGCGATCTTCACTTTTCCAAGCTTGGCGCACCAATATTGATAATTGGTATTCACGTATTATACGGAAAACAAGTTACTCTTCCAAAACCGTTTGCTGTTTTGGAGAAGAAAGATAATGGAACAGATAAAATAACAGATGATTCTCAGATAAATACCGAATATATTGTAAAAGCTATTGTAAAACATAAATTAGTTTTTAGATCTAGACCAAAACCTATAATAACGAATGTACCAAAATGTAACTAAATCTATTTATATTATTTAAAATATTGTGTCTTCTTGATACATTCAAGTTTTTTACTGTCCCTGCAAAAGTAGTTCATTGTTACGATTATGTTATTGATAAATAAGTTTGAATATGTTTAAAAAAAGCATTGTACTTTTATTCCATTCTCACTTTATCTTACTTAAGAATAAAATATATTAGCCTAAATTGAATTGTAATATAAATGTAGATTAATCTTTCATTTCTCCTTCTTCATCTTCTTCTTCTACACCTCGTATATACATAACATTATTACATCTAATTAAAACTTCACCAAGATTGCCAGTACAATTTCCATCTATGTGTTCCTCAGTGTTGGCTAATTGTAAATTCATGTATCCATCGACTGATACCAAGTAGCCTTTGTATTCGTGGCCCCATTTTAGTTTTACCATTACAGGTTTACCTGTTAAACCATTTAAAAATGGTTTTGGATTAATTGGCATAGTTGCAGCCATGGTATTAGTTTATTTAAATTTCTGCAAAGAAAAGTTACGTTAAACATCAAAATACAATTTACAAAATTAGACAGTAGGCAGTACATTTATTATCAGCAATTGTAGTAACACAACCAAATGAATATTTAAATTTATGATTACAAAATTTTGTTCAAATATTATTTATTAAATATTTAACATATTAATCAAGTGAAGGTTACGTGTTATGACAAATTAAGATATTAAGAAATTAAGTTTCCTATAGATGTATAGTTATGAGGCTGACGGTTACTTACAATATTAAGGGCATATTTACTCACCTATTTGAACAGTAAATACGAAAAACGTCTCAACTTGTTGCAACGCGTGCCAAGAAAAGCCCAGAGAAGCCGCTCTATTTTGAACAGTTTTGAAGCAATCTACAAATGTATTGTAAATGGCTGCCACTACACTAGCAAAATAACCAACACTTGTCAACATTGGGAACGAAGTATCTAAGGGTTATTAATCTTAATTGTTTATAAATAGGGTATAAGTAATACAATTTGTTGCCTATCAAACATACTACTCGATAAAAGGTATCAGGCAAAGTTTTAGTGGCCATTTTAAGGTGTTTGCAACAAAGAATTTATATTTTTCAGAAGCAGTAATTATATTCTATTAAATATGAATATACTACCAAAGAAAAGGTACAATTAAGCCTTCAAAGAGAATATTGTAATACTATTGCTTTGAGATATCATGTCCTATTATTCATCCCAAAATATTGTTTATTAGGTGGCATGTACGTACCAAAGAGAATATTGCTCGTGTAAGAAGAGATGAGGCACAAGCTGCAGAAGAAGAGAGAATCAAACATGAAAGAGCTCAAAAGGCTGTAAGCATAAAAGAATATATAATATAAGCTGTTCAGTATTTGTATAAGTAATGAATGTAACTGACTGTTAATAACTAATACATTGTATCAGGAAACTGAAGCAAGAATTAATTTTCTGAGAGATAAAGCAAGATCAAAGTATGATGGACGAGAAGAAACTAAAGCTGAGACAGATGCTTCTACTTCTAAATTAGAGCATGTCAATGTCTTTGCAGACCTTGAACAAGGAAAAATTGATCATAATAGACCGAATACAGAACATGAGAAGGAAAAGAAAGAGGAAAAAGAGAAATATGAAAAGCAGATTGGCTACCTCACATACCTTGGGCAAGATACTAATGAAGCAACAGGGAAGAAGAATTGGTATGAGGAGTTGCCTAAAAGAATAACCGACACAGAGAAAAATATAGAAGTACAAACAAAAAAGAAAGCTTTAGATGATCCAATACATGATATTAAAAAGTACTTGAATATTATGGGGGCTGGCTGTGTAGAAAAATCTTTGAAGACAAAGTCAGATTCTTTAAAAAGAGTAAAACATGAATCAGAGGACAGTGATTCAGAACATAAAAGTAGATCGTCAAAGAGACATAAACACAAAAAACCTAAGAAACATAAAAAAGAAAAGTATCACAGTAAGGAAAGAGAAAGCAGAGAAACACTAAGTGCAAATATAGAAAAATTAAGAGCAGAAAGACTCTTAAGAGAACAGAGTGAAAAATTAAGGACAGAAGCATTGTTAGCTAAAATAAGAGGAGATCCAGTACCAGTAGTAGCTCTAGAAACGCCTAAACCTACTATCAAACAGAAATATAATTCACAATTCTTTCCTGAAATTGCTAGACAAAATGCTGAAAGAACACCCAATATACATTTAATGAAGAAATAGTGTAAAGTGTAAGTTAATTTTTATTGTTTGACTGTGCAGCCATTTTTACCATTCAAAAATTACTGCTCCTATAATTATGTAAATATCTGCCACTGTACAGGTATCTAAATAATATTTTATAAGACCTAAAGTTCACGACAGTTAAAGGTAAAGCATTAAAAATTTTTAAGACATATTCTACGAATCTGTAACATTATTATTCGAAAGAATAGGTGTGTACCGATACTGTTTCTATCAAGTGTATGTTCAGTTACTAATATTAACAATAAAGTGTTGATGAGTTAATTGTTACATCTGAGATTCCTGTGGTGACTCTATTTTATAAAGTACAATATACAAATAAACGGACGGTCTGTATGTGCACTTTTTTTTTAACTATTGACGAATAGACTGTAGATTTTATACATTTATAGTATACGTGATTGCTATAATTTACATGTACTAAGCATTCAGTAAAGTTCAATGAGGTTTTCGTTTTATTTGGAACCTGATCGAACTCTTAATGGGGTAACAATTTTATAATTGCATTCAATTCCTATTAAATAAACCATAAAAAATCTATACATATTTTCATAAATATTTACAGATGAAACAATCGTTGAGTATCTCTTGCCAATGCATTTGATTGTGCTAAATTTCGCAGTATCACGTGACGCAAGATGGTGGAATATCACGGATCTCATGGATAACGCGTTAAAATTTAACATTTATATCATTTTTTCAGTATTCTTATTCATCACTTGACTAAAATTTTTTGATCGTGAGTAGAACTTTTTTCTTTTACAAGGATACGTTCAGTATTTTAATTCAATCTTCAAAGTATCGTTTGAAATCTCGAACCAGACGCTTGCACGCGCGAGTTTGCATTCGCGAAATATGATTTTCGAATTTGAACAGCTCTGAATACGCTCGATTACAAAAAGATGACAGTTCGTAGAAAACTTTCTCGCACGTTGTACAAATAGAAACTTCCGTTCGAATGTTACTAAAAAGAATACGTTTTAAAGTCATGCTACCGATCGACCTTAAGATAACCTCTTTGTTAATTTATACGAATACCGCCGTTTTGAAATATGAGTCCGAGTGATTTTTCTAGTACGTAGCTTTGTAAGGATATTTACATTTGATATGTCCTATAAAATATTTAAATTGCAAAGGTAATGTATAGTTTGAGCAGGCGTAAATTAAGATTGTTTAATGCTGTGGAATACAATATGACGTTCTATTTATATATACATATTTATATAGTAGTTCTTTTTTTTTAGACATTATTAATAATACTAATTGGTTTTTTATTACTATGGAGTGCTTAACTTCAATCCCAAATAGTGTAGAAAATATCTAACTATATATAATATAAATATCTTGAAATAAATTGTTGATTGTAAACAATGTATATTGATTGTTGTACATTGTAATAACCATACGTATTTCCATTTCAGGCAAAATGTTACTGTTAATTTGAATATGAAACAATTCTATAGATATGAGTTAACTGAATATTGCTATCATCATGAATGAAGAAACAAGCATCGAAGATTCTTCATATTTAAGTTATGAAATAAATGGTACCAGATATATTTTACAAACTGTCTCAGATCCAGTCATTGATTTAATAAAAACCACATCTACCAATGAAGAGGAAACTGCCATTAACATTATAGATGAGGCTCAAATGGAAAAAGATGAAGAATCAATTTCTTTGGTATGCTTAGATGGTCAAGTCTATGCATTTCAAAATGGAGAATTACAGGAATTGGATCTCAGTCAAGTTATAGATCAAAATGATCAACTGGAAAAAACTGTTTTATTGTCTAAAGATATTGATAATTGTGAAGCTGAATATATTACTAATGAAGATTTAGTAATCAGAAACATTGATGACCAATCTCAAGAACAGTATGAAGTTGTGACAGGACAAAATGAAAAGAATTTCATTGTAGAGAAGCACAATGTGAATGCCAATGATTTTGTGGAAGTTGTAACAGCGTTTAAATGTAAAATATGTACTTATACGACTCAAGATAAAACAAAATTATTGCAACACTTTCAGAAAACACATGTGAATCCAAAAGTTGATATTGAAGTGAGTTCTTAAATTCCTATTTTCCTTACAGTCATTTCATATTGATATGGATACTTTCATGTTTGTATTTGCAGATAAAAGAAGAATCTAAAAATACAGATGAAGTAAAACTGTTGTATATGTGTGGAGAATGCTCCAATTGCTTCCCTTCCATAGAAGATTGCAAAGAACATATGATAAATGTAATTATACAAAATATTTTACTCTCAAAGAACTTCATTCCATACGATTAAATATTAATCACTAATACTTTTGCTTCAGGATCATCAATTAACAGATACAGGCTCCAATAAAGGTGGCAAAGAAAATATTACCGATGACACAAAAGATTCTACCTTGCTTGATGAGTGTATGGAACGGAGTGCTGAAAATGATATGAAACGTCAAGTTAAAATTCAAAAACCTTTAAGTTCTGAGTATATGCTCAATAAGAAGATGATAGAACTAATGGAGAGAAACATAAAGTAAGTAAACTATTTAAGGTATGTAGAGGTTTTTATATTATTGCATTTCATTTATTTATAAATATTTGCTAAAGGTGTTCATATAGAGGGTGCCCATACAAATTTATTACCGAAGAAACAATGCAGCAACATACACTTTGTCATACAGAATCCCAAAGTGGTACAGCATTTAAATGTACTGTTTGTCGGGATTTGAAATTTACTAAATGGAGACAGTGTAGTTTACATTTATGGAAAAAGCATCAAATTGGTTAGTGTTATATATTAATATTGAACATAATCATGGCGCTTTTTTGTTCGTTTATTGAAAATAATGTGTATTTGGAAGAAAAACGATATTAAAAGATATTGTATGTAAGATCCAAATTGTTCTTTCAGATATAGGTTTGTTTACTTGTAAAATATGTAAAGCATACAAAAGTGCAACAATGGTGAAGCTTCTGACTCACATGAGAGTGCATAGTGAGACTCGAGAGTATGAATGCAGCGAATGTGGTAAATGCTTCAAGCAAGCCAGTCAGCTCCGTAATCACAGAGTAATGCATTTAGATCGGAAGGCATTGGAAGTAACACGGTGGTATACTTCAAAAAAATGTGACATGTGCGGAAAAACTTATGCGAACTCTAAATGCTTGAAAAGTCATATTCAAGCGGTGCATTCAAAGCTGCGACCGTATGTTTGTAATGTTTGCGGACATTCCAGTGCTAGAAAAGCAATGTTACAAATGCACTTGCGTCAACATACCGGTGACAAACCTTTTAGCTGCGAACTCTGTGATTATAAGACAGGAGATCACAATACGTTGCGACGACATATTATGCAGCACACAGGTATACTTTTACAACGCTCTAATATGAAAATATGAAATAATATATGTATAAGTATTACAAATGATTATTACAGGATTCAGACCTTACAAATGTCCACATTGTGCTTATACTGCGATACAAAGCAGTAGTTATAAAAATCACCTTAAATCTCGGCATCCTTTACTATCTGGTTTATTCACATGTGATTTGTGCCCTTTTAAAACTGTAAAAAATGAAAGTTACATGCAGCACGTGAGAGACCATGAAAAAGGCTTAATCAAAGCGAACATACAAAAGAAAGGTGCATTTCAATTTTCGTAAGTTAAATATGTATTTGTACTTGCAGATATTAATGTAAGATTCGTGTTTTGTTTAGATGGTGAAAATGTCGAAGTTTTTCCCGGTAATATCGCAGCGGCGCAATTGATTTATAGTTGTTTAGGTGCCTTCTCTAAAGTTGGAGATACCTTAGAGGCGAATCTAATGTCTTCCTCGACGTCTGCAGACGGTACATCGCAAACGATCACAATACAAATACCGTCGAAACACCTTGAAGGTTCACTGCCAACGAGAGAACACGGAATGAAAACTAACTCTACGATAGAACAAGAGGATGAAGAAACGATGCATTGTTTTTTAAAAATTCCAAGGGAAGAAGAAGAAAGTATAGATACCGGTGGAATAACTATCCCAGCAGAACCCGAGGAGTCGGGTGCAACAACAATTAATATTGATACGTGAAAATTATAAGAAATTAAGTTACGAGAATATTTCTATACTTTTGAAAATGCCAGAAATCTACAGGTCGAAAGTAAATGAAGAAATGCTAGTCACGCGTTACTTAGATGATACATATTAACTTGTTTTCTTTTTTGATAAAAAATAGTTTAACCTAATGCTTTAATTTTTTTAAAAATGCTAATTGTGATACTATTTTTGAAATTGTATATCGTGATTGCGACGAAAATATTAATAATTCAAGTGTTCTATTTCAAGAAAGATGAAGTAAATTTTGTACGTTATTTTAAACGAACAAAAATGTATTGAAACATTTAATTACATAATCAAATTAATTATTTTACAATCATATAAATTTAAAGTTTTTTTTTGCCTTTAAGTAACACTTTGCAAATGGAAACTTCTAATTTTGTATGTTTTTATCTTAATCTTTGTTAAAATTGTAAACATAGATTGTTATATACTAGAACACCTTCAATATTTTGAATGTATTTATTGATAATTAATAGTAAATTAGTAGAAGTGTACATAAAAATTGTAAAATAATAGAGTGGAAACCGTTGTAAAATGTAAATTACAATATTACGTGTGGTTCGTAGTATGATTAAAATAATATTTTACATGATGGACTGAAAAAGAAATGCTCCGGTATTTTTTGACTCAAGCAGTCACCAGGGAAAAATAACACTTATCATTAGTACGGAAGAATGAATTTAAAGATTTCCAAGAGAGTTCACGTCTTTTAACTGTTGAACTTCACAAACACGTCCCCACAGATTCAGTTTCCTATATCAATTTGCTTAAGTGCAAAATTTGTGTAAATGGTAACTGATGGATCTATAAACATATTATTCTTAAAAAATTCAGTAGAAAGATTTAAAAAATATATCAGTAAATTATAGAATATAACTGATGTCTTTTTATATGCATTTTGTAAGAAAGTGTTAAGTGAAAATAAAAAATACTGCTTCTCCCGGAGTAGCCTAAGCAAATTGATACGAGTTATTATTTACAGCTAGCGATCCAAGAAATGTGAGAAGCTCCATTCTCTTATAAGCAGCCAATGCGAATCTTCTCGTAAATTACACATCATATCACAACTAACAATCCCTGGGCAGTTCGCCATAATAAGCCGTTACTGCTATTAACTTTCTGTCAAGAAAGTTTTGCTCCACTTCTACGCCACCACCTACACCGGCTAACATGGCAAGCTGCAATTTATATATAATGCATCTAAGAGCATAAGATAAATGATAAACAGTATATTAAAATTGTAGGTTGCTTTGCAAGTTACCTCCATAGTATCTACATTTCTAGGTAGAAAGTAGGCCACATGATCTGAGATTTTTTTTGCTATTTTAAATAGATTTATTCCACCAATGGGTTGCATAATGTTAATGAGATCATAAGTTTCATCCTTGGCATATTCAGGTCCTCCCCACGGAGGACTTAAAAATACAACATCTGCGAATAACTTTGGTGCAAGCTGAAGGAAATCCCCAACAATAAATTCTATTCTGTCATCGACACCATAGATTCGAGCATTGTTTCGAGCAAGTTCAATCTTAACTGGGTCTATATCTATTGCAAAAACTGCAAAATATGTTCAAGTATTATAGACTTTACTTCTATGTATTTACGTGTTAATAAGTTGACTACCATATCACCAAAGATCAGAAATTGTATTTCAACGATTCGGTCCGATAGTCAATTTGTTAAGTAAGTACAAACGCACCTTTTTCACACGTAAAAGCAAATTGAATAGCATTTCCACCTGCGCCACAAAATGCATCGATAATGGTATCACACCTGCATCTTTCTGCTATGTGCTGAGCAATTTTTTCCGGCGTTACGGAGAACCAACTTTCTGTAAAAAATATATTAACATACAAATTTTAAATACAGAGTGTGGCAGAATCAGTGGCACAAACGGATAGATGGTGATCCTACACACGAACCGAACAAGTAATGTACTATAACGTTTTTTGTATAGTGGTTGCTTATTGAGAAAACGAAATTTGAAAATTCGTCTCATATGGTAAGGTTAAGAAGCGTCTATATCCATTGTTAATTATTTCTGTATACAATACTTATACTGTAACATTCTAGGTTTGTACAATAATTTGATATAAACTGATAGGTAGTAGATAGTATCACCTTTTGCATTAATTGCAGGCGGAAATAATAAGCGATGGTCAGATACATTCAGTAGTTCTATTAGAAAGTACGAGTTATCAACGAATATTCAAATTTGAATATCGTATCACGCATCTTACCCCATTTTGTATAAATACGAACGGTAATTAATTATTTTAAGTGTATGTATTTCATTCCTATCAGCTAAAAATGACAAATCTTCATTATTTTATAAGAAGGATAAAAAAACATACCACGATCCAATTTTATGCCTTCATCAAACTTGCTAAATAGGCGATACCTCTTTAACCAATACTTCATTAAAGTCTTGTCATTATCTACTTCTATTGGAAGGTTTATGTTTCTTTTACACTGCTTCCTTCGTTTTTTTTTTTGCGTCTTTTTCACGTTATCTTCATCGCATAATTCCATATTCTGTATTTCGTTGTGATTATATTTTTCATCTACATCCATATCAATATTTATAGTATCAACTTTCTCAGTATCCTTCACGGGAAGTTGGTTTTCTAATATACATTTAGCAGAAATGTTTTCTTCTTGGTCAAAATATACATTGTTATCCTCTTCGATACTTTTAAAAACATCATCTTGTTTGTCGGACACGTTCCACGAATCACTTGCATCGTCGATTTGCTTTTTATCTGCTCCAGATTCTATCGAACTTGTGCTTGGTTTACTAAATACAAAACGTTTCGTTTGTAACTTCGTATTAACATTAGGATTGCACTCTTCATCAGAACTTGATGTAAATTGTGCTTTGTAGGAACCTTCTTCAGGGGGCTGCATATCTGCTTCTGATGATGGTAAAGGTGGGCAATATGATAGATAGTGTTTCACCTAAGGAGTAGAATAAATTAATTATTTGTTATAATTATTATTAAGACATTTTTTTTGTTTAGTACATATTATTTAAAATCAAATTTACTTTGTCTATAGTATTCGTAATTTCCATTCCATTATCATCAAAGTAAATATGTTTGTTCGTATGCTTGGGCCTGTAGAATTTCATTTTCAACTGTCTATTTTGCAATCTGATATTTTTCTTCCTGTATACTACTTCACCTTGTAATTTTAATTCCTTGTGGTTTTCGTTGAAGGTATAACCCATTAAAGAAAATGCCTTCTTCACTGTTTCTAGACCTTCTGCATCATCACAGTCAGCCTCATGGCTAAAAGATAAGCTTTCATATAATCATGAGTTATTTCAATATAATAGAAAAGACACTACTGTACCTTCTTTTCAGTGTTACAGGTTTGTCTTCATGGGGTTTATCTCCATCTCCTTCACTAGAATAATTTCGTTGAATACTATTATTGCTACCAGTGTTATTACAAATAATTGCTCTATGTTCGTTTTGTATAACCGCAGCCTGATTGTTGTGTGTATCTTCGGATGAACCTACATGCTCATTAGCTTCTTTACTTTTATTCTCCGTACTAGCATTGTCTTCCGTTTTTGTTACTAAATTCCGTACAAGTATTCCTACTGATTCCATGATCAGTCTCTTCTTTCTCGTCTTTTCTCTTTTAGAATAAGTGAAATTCTTATTAGACATGGCTTTATTTTCGGGTATATTAATTTTATTAGATGTATCTGTTTCTATTTGCGCAAAATCTTGGTCTAAGCTTCCATCGCTTTCTTCATTCTTATTCCCCTCGCGATAACTCTGAATACCCATATTAGATTGTTCCCTTTTATACCTTTCTATAAACAATTCATAGTGCCTTTGGTACTCGATTTGAAAATTCTCTTTCCATAAATGCTGCCAATATCTATCATTGTCTTCTGATGTGTATTCATGGTCTGGATCAGAACTGGTACTTGTTATATTGCTTTCAATGGAACTAGTTACAGAACTGATGAGACTAGATGAATGCATAGAAATTGAATCACAGCTAGAACTAGTAAGAGTCATTTTTGTAACGTTGGTCATGGAATCTGACGTCGCGTTTGTTTTCGCTGTCGACCCGTTAATGGAATCACATCTTGTTAAAAGTCTTTCATCTTCTGCATTTGACTGTTGATTATAGCTTTCTTCTAAACTAAAAGGACTCAACGGATTCCAACCATCACCAGTTTCCGGTGGGGTTTCAAGACTCGTCATTCTCCTCCTATTTTCCTCTGCATCCTTATCATTGATGTCCTGCTTATTTATATCGTCGAATGAAAAAGTAACGTTATACGTGTCTTTCGCCTTAATTTCATTATCCTCTGTATTACTATTTTTACTAAATATTCCTTCAAAATTTGAGCGTCCAAGTTCACAATTTCTGTGCGCCTGACTAGGGAAACACGTGTTCTGTTCTGAAAACTTTTCTACAGTCTCCTTTGCTTCTACTCTTTCATCTCCTATCAAGAGAGCATTTTGTTGAAAATACTCTGGGTTTATATAATCTGCGTACTTCTCAATCCACGACGACCAAATTAATTGTTCACCATTCACTGACCAATACTTCTCCCATGCAATGTCCATAGCACTCTTAGTTTCCAAATACATAGAATATGGATAAACGTGTGAATTATGATTATACACATATGAAACATTTTCCCTATAAGTCTGTGCATCATTAGATGATACATTCTTTGAAGTGGTCTGTATCTCGGAATCTTTGTCTCCCAAAATAAACGACGGGCTTTTTATATGAAATTTCTCATTACAGTTGGAGGGATTAATACTTAAAACTTTAATGTTTTCTGCAAGACGATCTGATGAGTGAATGTCTGTTAATTCGGATACAAATTCTGAACGTTTGTCTTCTTGAGTCGCTGGAAATACATTCACTTTCTCAAATCCATCTTCCAGTTCAGTCTCTGTAGTTTGAAAAGTCTTTCCATAAGATGCCAAAAGATTTTGTATGCTTTTGGCCTCGTGCTGATCATGATACTCGGATAGGTCTGCCCCAGAATCAGATTGGTGCAAACCCAGTTTTTGGGTGAGAGAATGCGCGGCAGGACGATGAGTAGAGTCACGAACGGAGTCATGTTCATCTGTGGAATAATTGTTGTCTGTGTGTGATGCACTGCAGTAACAGCTCACTGGTTCTTCCTAATTATATAGAAGAAAACATATGTGCTCATTCAAATACAGATCTAATACATACATTGTGATGTCAGACTAGAAGGAATTAACCAAATACTTTAGTTAAGAAAAGAAAAAAGTCAATCTTACATCGTGTTTCTCAATGGATTGTGCTTCTATGGCAGACCTTTTATGAAGATCTAACATTTCTCCAACACAATCACCCTCAACATCTTCACCTTCGCTTGCATCTTCCAAAGCAAGGGCTGAATATACTTCTGGATTTCTGAAAGATTAGTAAATAAAAAATTATGGTATAAATGTTTTAAGAAGGAGAATATTATGGATGAAACAAATATCTGATTTTGTGAAACTGTACTTGGGTTTCCAGGAATCAGATTTATCAGATGAATCTATGTGTAATATCAAGAGTATAGGAAAGATCCAGAATGCAGATGCTTCATATAGAAATGTCTAATCTAAAATTTGTAATGATAATCCTAGACAATAGATTTTGGTTAATAGGAAGAAATATATTTAACAGCTTATACCTAATAGGGGTGTATTCAGACAGGTTACATAAATACATGTTATGAAAATCACAGCACTTCTATGAACACTACATTATCATAATAATTACTCATATAGACACGAACATCTAATTTTGTATTTTAGAAAAACTTCAAGCTTAATAAGGCACTGTAGTCTTCCTTTCTTATCTGTGTTAACTTTCACGTGGTATACTGTGTTTGTTTTCGATAATGTATGCATCAGAAAATTGAAAGAAATAACAAAGTAATTGAGTTTATTAATATTTCACTGCTTCACAGAACAATCTCTAATATATGTATGTAGTGTTACCAACAATCTCATGCATTTTGACGAAAAAAGAAAACATATTTCATGTATAAAAAAAATATATCGTGTTCCAAGGTAATCGAGTGGGTGTCAAGGTTAGGTCATGTGTCACACCACTGATCGATAAACGTGATTTTTTGCTTAACAGAGGAATTAAATTGACACGAGTGCGGAACGCAAGAGTAAAACTGCAACATCAAACATGACGACGAACACATGCCCCGAGGGTTATAATTACCGAATGAATACTCTGCTGCAAAGACAATAAATGTAATTATCAGGGTCAGGGAACTCTGTCTGTTCCCCGATGTAGACGTCGGCTAATGGTTCCCAATAAGGGTCGTTCATGCCGGAAAGAAATCTTCAATTTCTTGCTCGTTCGTGAATCGTCACAACACCCACATGTCTCGCGCTCAGATTTTTACAACTCCCCCCACGTAAAAACAATCCGCCATTTCTTCGACAGCACACCATCGTGAAGTTGTTCATGGTTATCATTGGGTGTAATGGTCGATCGATAACTATCGACTTTTCTTGAGATTCAAAAATGTTGATCAATTTTTGCTGCTGTTACTATAAGTCTTAAAAATTATGCAATGGTTAGATCACAGTCTAGGTGTAGGCTATTTCGCAATTTTCCATACAATCTCTGAGACTTTCTAAAGTTTTCATAAGGTCGTTGCGGCAATTTAGCAAATTCAATCTGTCATTCAGTATCCACGAGAATGGTGGCGAGTCCTGTAGATATACCTGACACACATGACCACGAACATTATGGCGTAAACAGCGGAGGCTGTGGAAGTGGGGTGCATAATTTTGTGCGTCAGTGCATATAAATTATCAGTGAATAAATGGATAATTCTGTACGCATAACCAAGAACACTTGTCAATTTTAAGGATATGATGTTTAAATATTAACAAGGCATCTCATAGCAGCTACTAAATTTCGCTAATAAACTACGAGCTCCATAAAAAATGATAGATATTAAAGATAGTGTAAATGATATACACGATGTTAATTATGAGTCAAAGATACGAACTGACAGTTCTGGAACAGTACCATCAACACCTTCATCATCATCCGATTATATGACAGGTGAAGCAGATGACAGTTCAGATAGTAAAAGTGCCGTACCCTTTAGTCTAAAGTCTGTGGAAACTATACTCTCATTATCTAAGGTATAGAATTAATTTTTGGAAGTGCTCTTATATTATCATTTATTTCGTAATTTTGTGTGCATTTCCTATTCTAGGCTACATGTGAAGAAGATCTTAAAGAAATGGTACAAAAATGTAAGCAAATGGTATTAGAAAGTGCAGAATGCTCTGATGAAAGAAAGTGGCTTGTTCGACGTTTAATTGAATTGCGTTTGAGAGTACAGGAGTTAAGAGAAACATCAGAAGAAAATTTACTTGAGACACAGGTAATTTTAGGACATCACTTAGTGCCACAAAAATACCATATAACAACCTCTGGACCCGTATACTGTGATCACTGTAGTGGGGCCATTTGGACCATGCTTCAATCATGGTATATGTGCAGTGGTGAGACTTTTTTTTATATATTATTATATATAAATAAATGTATAAATGTATGTGTATTGTACTTTTATAGATTGCAAATTCTGCTGCCATTGGAAATGTTTGAACAGCATATGTAGAGTATGTGTTCACATTGTTGCCAGCGAAGCAGGTGGTTATATCTACACAAAAGATATTTGTCCCGAACAAGGTCTGTCAGATCAAGGGTATCGATGTGCAGAGTGCAAAGTGAAAATAACCTTCAGTAAGTATCAGTAAGGGACAAGTTTTTCACATTAAATGTTTCTTTTTACCTTTTTTCTCATTCACCTCTTACTTTGTTTACATATAAAAGCTTTTTCTTATCACATGATAAAACTATATTTTAATTACAAGCTTTCTCAAAAGGATTATCCTTATCTTGTTTTGGAAGTCCATTCAAAGGTACAGTTAATACACAAGAGAAAGAAATTAGTTTTCATAGACATATTTCTTAAATTGTTTAATTAGTCAAATTGCTAATTAAATACTAATATTGTATACCATGTAGATTATAATATATAATTTCTAAACATAGAATCAGCATGGATAGAGCCACGACTTTGTGACTACAGTGGATTATATTACTGCCAAAGATGTCATTGGAATACTACAATGGTAATTCCTGCAAGAGTAATAAGAAATTGGGACATGGAACCACGATTAGTGTCTCGGGTCGCAACACAACTTTTAACTCTTTTAGAGGATCGTTCGGTTTTACCCTTGGAAGAATTAAACCCGAAATTGTTCACTTTAGTTCCAGACCTATCCTTAGTAAAGGTAAAGGACATATGTGTGATCAAAAAGAGACATTACAGAAAATACGTGACGAATGTAATTGTCGATAGAAATTACGGGAAGAGATGCAGATGATGAAACGTTACTTGGTTCTATGTTCGGATGCAAACAGTCAGGGACTACCATGGAAACTCGGAATACGTACTCACATGATCGAAAACTCAGGAAATTATTCCATCAAAGATCTTATTGATCTCAATAATGGAACTCTTCTAGAAGAAATTCGCGCTGCATACGACATTATGCGCGCTCATATTACAGAGCAGTGTCAGTTGTGCAAAGCAAGGTAATCTTTCATGATTAAGAAAGAACATTATTATGTTAGCGTTCACTTTGTAATCAAGTTATTAAATTTTAATTATACAACCAGAGGGCACTTGTGTGAATTGTGCGGCAACGATGAAATTATATACCCGTGGGACGCAAGTGCCATCACTTGCTATCAGTGTGCAGCTGTTCATCACCGTGTCTGTTGGTCGAAACGAAATCATTGCTGTCCGCGATGTGCGAGACTTCAAAAGCGTCGTGCCATGCAGGATCAACAAACTTCGGATACAGACGACTGTATCACAGAAGAAACATTAAACACATGTGAACACCTAAGCGATACAATATAAACAGTGTGGAATGTCATACAATAATGTATATTACATGTAATGACGATATTTTATGCATTATCTGCACAGAATATGTACATTTTATGCGATTATTTCGTAAAATAAAGTGAAGGTGAAATCACAATTTATACTTTAGTCCAGGGGCGATCAACCCGAATTGAATCACTATCACTGAATGAGCCGAAGTCGCCGAACTGCCAAAGCGCTCCCACCACTCCCACCAACGAGACCGGAACACCGATATTGCGGGTGGGGAGAAACTGCTGACCTGTGGTTCTGAGCTCACGGATTGCCCTACCCGGACCCCGGACCGGGGCTCACACAAACGCATTTCCCCTTCTTGCAACTTCCACCTCCCCAAGCGACCGGATCATTTTCGCTCAAGTTGGCTGACCCTGCTTTATTGTGTAACTCAGTAATTTTTTAAAATTAATTTATCGTTTCTTGAATCAATTTCAAGGTCTGCTTCATGACACCTAATATCAATATCATTATGCTTTGAGCAATGAACAACGGACGTTCAATTAGTAGGTATAATAAAGTTAAAACTTTCTTGAATGTAATAAATCATACACAATAAAAATTAGTTTATAAATTACATCTAAGAGACAAAGAAATTTTTATATGAAGTGTTTAAGCGTTTCCTTTTTAAGGGAGCGTATACTTTATTTGTTGGTGGAAAATTCTAATGTTCCTTTCGGTGGAATTCCCCTCTTAACAACGTGCGGTATCGTCTTAGGCACCATGCTGAAAATGTAATATCAAGCCGTTGAAAGGAATCTCGAGGAGTCGTGTTAAAAAAAAATAAAGGAAACTGAAAACTTACGTTATGCAATCGATGATGGGACACACTGAGAGGCAAAGAGTGCAGCCCGTGCAGTCATCGGTCACTTCCGGAATGTGAGTCTCTGGATTAAAGTGGATTGCTTGGTAACCGGAATCGGCACAAGCCATATAACACTTTCCACAATTTATGCACATATCCTGGCATATAAGAAATGGCTTGCATTAACGTTAAATAGCAAAAACGCACTAAAACTTGTGCATCTTTAATAATATGAAGGTGATCAAAACGTACGTCGTCTATCAATGCTACCACTTGTTTTTTATTGTCCAATTCCTTGTAAGTTTGAATGTGATTTATAGCTTTGCCGATAACATCTTTGATAGTTGGTACAGATGCGATTAACTTTGGAACAGGTCTTGTAACAGTGCACGTCTTCTCGAGCGGATTTGAATGCGCTTTAATCTCGGCTATTTTCTGTTCTCGAAGCTTTTGATACTCACCAAAGTATGGTATATTCTGGAATATGCGTCAAGTTGTACGGAGACATTAATTTTTACCTGAAACGGTTAAATACTCACTTTGCCAAGGGCATGCTGCAAGGAAACCGGTTTTCCTTTTTGATGTTTAAAGGTCGGCGGACTCTGTCCATCCCAGTCTTTCACTTGTTCTAGACTTTTCAAGTATAGCAAGGCTTTTAAGCCACTTACGTAATCGTCGATCAAAGTAAAATCTTGATTCTGTATAGCGCTGCAGACCTACATATTCGTGAATGATCTGACATGAGTGACAAGTACTGTATCTAGTGAACTTCTATAGAAATCGAATAAGTCATTAGTTCACCTGTACAACCGATGCGCCGCAATGAAGAAATTGAAGAGCAACGTCAGCAGAATCGATGCCGCCTATTCCGAGTATACAAAATCCGGGAAGGATTTTTGAAATAGAGGATACTGCCCGTAACGCCTGGGGCCTTGTTGAGTTACCTGACATACCTCCGTAGGTAGTGGCCTTTTGAACACCAACAGCTGGCCAGGGGGTTGCATCGGCGTGTAAACCCATCAAACCCGATACGGTATTTATCGCAGACACACCATCGGCGTGGCCTGATGCAGACAGTTATTAGCTCGAACTTGAACTTCAATATTTTCCTTCGACATGGACAAATATGATACCTTCGTAGGCGGCTTTCGCAATTGAAACGATGTCGGTAATGTTAGGAGTCAATTTCACGAAGAATGGTATCTTTACAGCTGCTCGCACCCATCTCGAGATCTTCCTCACCAATTCAGGATCCTTAAGTGTGACGGTTACTATAATAGATGTTCGTGTAACGGTAATACAGTTGTTTACAATTATAGTAAATATACTTGTCCACAAGCCAATCCCATTCCAGACTCTCCCATTCCATGCGGACAAGACAGATTCAATTCCAAAGCATCTGATCCCGCGGCTTCAGCTTTCTGAGCGAGTCCCGTCCAATCCGCTTTGTTATACGTACACATAATACTAGCTATGATAATCTGCCAATGAATATACGATCGTTAATATCGATGCCGGTTCAAAATCAAACCGATGTCACTTTCGCACCTTAGTCGGAAAGTCCTTCTTCAATTCTGTGACACTTTGGCACCAGTAAGCTTCCGATTTCTCAGATATTAATTCGATGTTCAAGAAACTGCCTTGCTCTGGACCGTAATGGTGCCGTGAAGTGGTACCCTTAATTATCCTTGGCGATACGTTCGTGACAAGGTCCTGGAAAGTCACAACATCAGATGATGTTCCAATCATATTTAACGATAAATGGCTTACCTTGTCCAACACAAATGTCTTTGTTACAGTAAAACCCCAACCCGCTTGAAAGGCTCGTCTGATCATGGCGCTAGTGGTGCACGGTGGTGCAGAGGCAAGGCCAAATGGATTTTCAAACTTTAGACCGCAAACTTCCACCGATATGTCAACGTCGTCGATTGGAGTGTGGAACTTAGGTAGCTGCGGTATCTCAGGTACCTCCAAATTATAAGAATTCTGCAGGACAATTTGCGAAGAAAATCGTTTAATACGTTCGAACAGTACGTTAAGGCTTTAGGAAACAAAAGCGGGACCGAATCTTCGAAAACGTAACCTGGATGAACTTATGTATATACCAAGCGGCCGTCTTTCCATCGTTCACAGATTCGACGGTAGTTTGTGCAATGCCGGCAAGGTCTCCACCACAAAAGACACCAGGAACAGATGTACTCATGGTTTCTGCATCCACTGCAGGTAAATTCCACTTATTCATCTTAACGGGCGCCATAGCTTTCATCACTAAAGAATTTAGTTAATTTAGTAGCTCCTACGGAAAGTACTATGAGCTGAATATGACTTTGATTCTGACCACTGAAATCTTGCAATCCCGACCCGAAAGCTGATATCACGAAGTCCGTTTTCAATCTACAGACTTGATCTTCGTCTTCGACCCAGTCACCATTTTCCGTCTCCTCCGTTCGATGAAATTCTATTGCAACTATTTTCCCATTACGAGTGATCACTTGCTTTGGCGATTGGAAGGGGATGAATTCACATTTCTCTACTCTTGCCAAATGGAACTAAACATAAAAAAAACAGTACATTTTAATCAGCTTGGTAAGGTATGGTTATTATTTTTTTTTTTTTGTAAAATTATTGTTACTTCTTCGGGAACAGCTCGAACGTTAGTGAATCCTTTTCTGAAAACCACGAACACCTTCTTAGCGCCGCATCTCAAGGCGGAAGTGGCGCAATCGAAAGCTGTATCTCCGGCTCCAAGGACAACAACGTTCCCACGAAGAGAGGGTAGTTCGTAGTTTTTCTTACATGTGCACATTCCGGGTTTGCTACCCTCTGATACTTTAGGTAGAAAGCTTTTCGACGTGAAAAATCCCATTTCCTCCGTAAGATTTGCGAAAATTGGAATAGTTTTTGCTTTCGGAAGACCGATCCCCAAGAAGATGACTTTGTACCCTGAATCTTGAAGACCCTTAAAAGATTCGGATATGTAATGATTCCTGCTTGAAATTCCATATTGTGAAATTGAAAAATCTCACGGAGGTACCTGTATCGTTAAATCATTTTCTGACAACGCTCTGCCGAGCTCGATCTTCACTCCTAGATCCTTAACGAGATCGATCTCAAAGTTGACGGCAGCGTACGGTAACCGGTATTGGGGGATCTCTGACGCGCTTAAGCCCCCGAGGTAACTTTGCTTTTCGAAAATCGTAATGTCATCGTAACCTAAACGCGCGAGAAACGTGGCACAGGACAGAGAGGCTGGACCACAACCCAGCAACGCGATTTTCGTGTCCGCGTGTGGAACTATTTGCCCAGGAATTCGAACTTGCGGTATATTCATTTGCTTAAAAATCTATCGACCGGAAAATATATCTTTTTATAATCGATCATAAGTAAAACGTTAAACATTCATCGAACAGTTTTAACATCTTACGTCCGTTGCAAACTGTTGAAGACCACCGATGTTGATAGGACCTTCTTCGGATGCATGCAAATTGCATCCGCCTACGCAAAGGTCGCTCGTTGGGCAAACCATGCCGCAAGTGAGACCCAATGGATTATCCGAAAGAATCGCTTTAGCCGCTCCATAGTAGTTCTTATTGGATATAGAGGTGATGAAAGATTTGATGTCCAATTGAGTTGGACAGGACTTTTGGCAGGGTGCATCGGTGCATTTCAAGCAACGTGCAGCTTCTTTCAATGCCCCGCGTTCGCTGAGCGTGGTGTGCTTGATGTCGTCGAAATTTTTCGTCAGCGGTGGACATTTCTATAACGAATTATTGTGCATTTTTATCAATCAAATGCAATAATTTCATACGAAATATAATCGTTGTGAAAAATATTTCTGACTCAAAGATCTGATTTCTATCATGGTATAATGATCTACCAGCAGTATATTGCTATTACATGTCTGCGCGTAGCGAGCCTATTTACGATCGCCCAAGAGAAATACAAGATCGCACTTATAAATTGAGAAAATGTACCCAGAAAGGAATTTATCTCAAAAACATATCGTACACTGCATTTCTCATTGATGTTCCTCTTCCACTTCTTCTTATTCTCTTTCGTGTACGCTGATGGGACCAAGCTCGCAAATGGTTTTATTTTTGGATTTATGGTTAGAAGGTTCTGTGGAAAAATGTGTTTTATTTTCAATTACATCTGATAATACGTCAGTCTTCGGATGACTATAAATTATAACGGATTACTTGCCTCGATGTCAGGCACGTCTCTGCTGAGTACGACGGTAGCTGCCATATTGAATGATTGAATGTTGAGTGTTGAATGATTCCGAATATAAACAATTAACACCTTCGTATATTGAGCGAGATACTGTGCTCGGTAACTGAAGCAATTTACACCGAGTTACTATGCAGAGTAAGTGAATGTTGGAGGATTAAGACTACATTTAGCTTGGAGCTTTCTACACCTCAATCACGCGATAACTCACACATCGAGCACCATGATAAGTGGATGTCTGTCTGTTTATATAATATGTGTAGTAAGGACAAGTTTTACACGATTCATCAGGAGAGGGAACGATACGCAGCAACTACTTCTCGACCATTTGTCACACACTATACACAATACACAATTTGTACACGTATACACAATGTCATCAGGGACGCGTCATTCTGACGCATTTCGAATTTCACAAGAAAAATGACAGAAACCGTTTACATTTCTCTTCTACCACTTATGCTAACTTTTATCCACTTAACAAGACAAATATATATCCAAATTCATTTTCTCCTAAGCCTTCTAATCTTGGAATTCTCTATACGTGGTATACCTATCTCTACGGGTACGCGTCAATTTGACGCGATCGTAAATTGAGTATTAATCCTAGTAAATCGGCTTCACTCGCGAAAGCATTACTTCAGTAATAAATATAAACGTAATCAAAAAGTTCATAGAAAGTAAATGTTAAAACTAAACTCAAATGTTTTTATAAAAATAAACACAAATGTTGTTTTTTAAAGAAAATATGAGTTTTTGTTCACGCATCAATTTAACACGTGTCCGTACAGATAGATATATAAGAAATATCCGTAATAGTATTAAATATTCCACGAACCTGATAGCAATTTCTGTGGAGAATCCTAATGTGGCTTTATCAGTTGGTGGAATGTAATAATCGATTGCATTGATCCCTTTATTGGTAGAAACTTATCACTGGCATATATCTTCGTACATATGTATATCAACATGTGTACCTAGTTCGTTTCTGACAAATGAAACAAGTCTAAGCATAGTTCATTCTCAGAACCGATCACTTATCTCAATTAAATAGATAATGCCCCAGTATCACGAATCGTACGAGCGAGCGAGATGCATTAACGGGAAGATCAATAAATTCTTGCAAAATGCAGCCAATATACTGTTTCAGATCTATTGCGCAATATAAATTTGTTAGGCGATTGAAGCAAAATCCGTACGTGATACTGTATTTCGGTTTGCAAAATTGATCTTCAGAAGCTTATCACCCACCGATTCGCCATTAATTTGTAACTGTGTATCCTCTGTAATTGGAGATAAGTTCAACCATGATGTAACTGTCTCTACCAAGCATCGTTTAATTAAATAGAAACTCAAGGAAGCAGCGAACGTGATGACAGAGTATCGGAAAATTGTTCTGTAATCATGAGCTCCCCCAAAGGAAATCTTGCAATCCCAGTCTGATACTGAGACTGAATATCAAGTAATACTTGCTATACTCGAGACTGCACGGACGGTTATTCTGTTGTTCTGGAACTTCAAAGACGAACGATATCGAAATCTAAACGATTCGCCTAAAAGGATGGACGTCTTTGCATTAGAACGAACTAAACGAAGAAATATTACACCCAACAAACATTTGAATATTAGCTTGTTGATGATTTATTATATGGGCATGTGGCCTGCTCAAGGCAAATACCGGTATTTGTATTTTATGTACACGATTTGCTGTTTCACTTTTCTGTTAGGCATCATTCTTACTACTGAAATTGCATACCTTATCGTCAACTGGGGAGACATAGCAAAATTAGCTGCTGGTGCAACGCTTCTTATGACTAATACTTGTCACGCTTGTAAGGTTTGTATCATTGAATTACAGAAAAAAAGTGTGTAACACGAATTTTTCCGTGCTGATCTTGGTTTCTGAAAAACAGCTTTCACGTTATAAAGTCATTTCACTAGAAAGTAGAACAATTTCTATACAGTGCGATGGTGGTGTAATGGTTAGCATAGTTGCCTTCCAAGCAGTTGATCCGGGTTCGATTCCCGGCCATCGCACACCTACTTTTTTTCTTCCGTTCATTCACATAATGTCAACTTTTTTTACCCCAATAATTTATTTTATTCGATATACATGGATTTTACGTGTAGGTAATTATTATTCTTTGTCGACATGAACGTATCCGATGTCTTATCGATGTGACAAGAAGCAAACTGTTTAGCCGGGACAATATAAAATACGAACGAATCGTAACGTATTACACTTGGCAAGGAATTTTTCATCACATTGCCTATCAAAGTTTCGGAACAATGGCTGTAATATCATGGGGGGTTTCCCCGATTATTGATCTGCTCAGTGAAAGATCAAAACAATTACCAATAGAAGGATGGTATCCATATAACGTAACAGTTTCTCCGGTTTTCGAGATTACGTCTTTCTATCAAGCTGTGGCAATCTTCATTTGTTGCTTTAATAATGTTGCGATAGATACCTTGATAACAGGCTTTATCACGATCGCCTGTTGTCAGCTGACGCTTTTAAACCGTAACATTTCTTCCCTGAACCCTGAAGCAGAGAAACAATCAATTGTATCAAAAGATGATGTCGATGTCAAAAGATCTACCATAGAAACTTACAATAGAACGTATGATAATTTAAAGCTCTGCATTGAACACAGCAACATGATATTCGAGTGCGTTTCTAAACAAAAAATACAAACGATGATTCTAAAATGCGATTGTAATTACTAAATCTATAACTAAACTATTTAATATTTCCAGTTTCTCGAAAGAGATCCAGAGTATTTTTGGTACAGCAATATTCTTCCAATTCCTAGTAAATTGTATCATTATTTGTTTAATCGCTTTCAATATGGCACAGGTACATATTATACATTAATTATGTACACATTGTTCGAATTCCGCGATTGTGCTTTGCATTTTTTATATCCACAGATGAAAGTTTATATTTTACATGTTCTATTTGGTATGCTAATGTATATGTGTTGTATGACATACCAAATTTTTATATTCTGTTGGCACGGTAACGAGTTATATCTTCATGTACGTAATTATACAAATTGTTCCGTTATTAAAAACAATCGAATTTTACTTAAACATTGCATCTACAGAGTTTAGATGTAGTTCTTGCCTCCTACTCGAATGATTGGTGGCAAAGAACAAAGAATTTCAAACGAGCTATCCAGATTATAATGACGAGGTCTCAAAGGCCACTTATTTTAACCGCCGGAAATATTATGGAATTGTCTTTACAGAATTTTGTTCGTGTAAGTATGCCACTTATAATATGTCAAATCTGTTAAAACGTATTAACATTATTTTTCAGATTCTGCGCATGTCCTATTCAATTTTCACAGTCCTACAAACTTCCACAGACGTTTGAATTTCTTGTATAGTCCAAAAATCTCCCTGTAACCAGTTTATTAAAAAGTTCATATTTGTGTGAAGGTTAGTAACTGCATTACATTTTTCTTAACATTGTATATAAAATGTAGAAATATATGTTTTAACGTCTTCCTTATTGTATATTATATAGATATCAAAAATATAAACATGAATATTTTAATAGTACAATTGATATCTTTTATTGTGATTTATGATCACATATTATCAAAGAGCTTCCACCATTACAGCTATTCCTTGACCTCCGCCAATACAAGCAGAGCCAATTCCTAATTTGCCATTCTTTCTCCTCCTAAAAGAATAATAAATTGTTACAATTTGAGGTGCAATTAATACAAAATATTATACAATGTACTGTTATATATGAATGTACCTGAGTTCATGTATCAAGTGTGCTGTAATTCTGCTACCAGATGCAGCTAATGGATGTCCAAGAGCAATAGCTCCACCATTCACATTTAATTTATTAATATCTAAGTTTAAGTCTTTAGCACAGGCTAATGTTTGAGCTCCAAAAGCTTCGTTAATCTAGTAACATAAAAAATATAATTATCTTTTTTTTTACATTAACGAATGAAAAGAATGTGTAAAACACATTCTACAACTGTTACCTCAACAAGTTCTATATCATCGAGATTTTTGTTTGTGATCTTAAGAAGCTCTTTAATAGCTGGAGCCGGGCCAATTCCCATAATACTGGGATCTACACCTACTACCGTGTAGCCCAATAAGCGTGCCAATGGTGCAAGTCCTTCCGCTTTAACGGCCTCTTCGCTAGCTAAGACAAGAGCTCCCGCGCCATCACAAATACCCTATAAAATACGTTTACGTATTTAAATAATACAAAGATTAACTATACTCTCACAGTTTATTTAAGCATAATTTAACATACTGATGCGGAACCTGCTGTAACCAGACCATCCTTCTTAAAGACAGGAGGTAACTTAGCTAAACTTTGAGAGGTCGTTTGAGGACGCGGGTGTTCATCCGTGTCGACGATAACATCTTGTTTTTTCACCTTGATTGTTACAGGTGTTATTTCTTCTTTGAATCGACCAGCATCATTGGCTGAAATATTAAATATTTACTGTCAATATATTTATTCACTTGATAATGTAAGAAATGTAGATATTAATGATTATGTTTACCAAGTTTCCACAGTTGTTGACTTCTTAGAGCAAATTCATCTACATCTTCTCTTTTTAAACCATACTGGGCTCCAAGCTTTTCTGCAGTCATTCCCATGGGTAAGTTGCAATAAGTATCTAATAGTCCAAGCCACAAGGCATCTTCAAACTCATACTTTTGCCCCAAACCTGTACCAAAACGAACATTCCTTACAACAAATGGAGTTTGACTCATATTTTCTGCACCGCCTGTTAAAACCACTTTAGATTCCCCTGTTAGAATGCTCTGAAAGTTATGAATATTCCTTATACGAATAGACTTTAATTTTTCTGATAGCCTAGTGTGAAAGGAATTTGTACCTGCGCTCCACTGACTATTGACTGAAATCCAGAACCACACAGCCTATTAACTGCAAAAGATGGCTTCTCCACAGGAATTCCAGACTTTAATGCTACATGTCGTGCCAACAAACCTCCATCACTGGATGACACCTTTATAAGAATAATTATACATACGCAACAAAAGAACACATCATTTTTAATAAGAATTTAGAAAGTTCATTCGAACATATTTCAAAAGATTATATACATACAGCTAATACATGACCAAAAACAACACTATCTACTTTTTCAGGTTTCAATCCTGCAGATTGTAAAGCAGATGTTGCAGCAATAACTGACAAATCAGTTGCACTTTTATTAGTGAAAACACCACCCATTGTACCAAATGGGGTGCGCTTTGCAGCAACAATGAAAATACCTACAAAGAGAAAGATACACATTTATCATTGTTTTAATCAGTACAATATTGTAATAACTAATATAGTTATTTTCACCCAGTGCTTTTATATTCATTGAATGAGAACCACTGAGATGAGTATTCTAAATTTTAAAGTCTAAAGGTCATATATAGACAATTTTAAAGTTACAAAAATACAATGTGACAAATACGATATCTGAAGATAAATAAACAAAACCTTGAAACCAAAGAAACATTGAATTTTTATGAGTAGATTAATGTACTTTCAAAAAGATTTAATATCATTAAAACTTGTTTAACAAGTATTATTTATTCATTACAATATATACAGTAAGGGAAGATAAAACAAAAATAAAATTAAGTCTATTTAGTTATACGTACCTTTCGTTACAACAGGCATTGTGTTAGAAAAATTCTTTATTACAATAATGAAACTTAAATAAAGTAAAAATGATTCGAGCCACTATACGATGTACCCTGGAATCTTCATACGTGTGGCGTATCATACGCTGCGTATGGTCGCTTTTAAACTGCACAAAATATATATACACTGTATATGTGTCTACACATGACTTATCATGTACAGAAGAAGGGGAGCGTATCGCCAGTGACATTGAAAGCGATCTGCTTCCCTAATTCAACACACGCATTTCACATTTTAACGTGCAATCTTTTTCGTAACTTCGTTCCTTGACTTGAGATTAAGAATTACACAAACAGTATCTCAATATATTTTTTGATAAAATTTTTTATCTTTGTTTTGTTAAAACATTATAGTTTATTTTGTGTAACACATATATTTGTTCTATTTTCTATGTGAATAAAAATGTTCTATTTTGTGAATTTAAAAAACTAAACAGTACAAAAACAAAGTCATGATCGTATGGCTACTTCCCAGATAGCACATAACGCCTTGAAGACGGTTTGCAGGCGCCTTAGACCTAAAATATTCGTAAAATGGACGTTTTCAAGGCGCCAATATACAATATATGTTCCATGTTAATGTATACATATATGTACCTATTTGTATGCAATCGTACGTTTAAATGACTTACAACATTTTTGAATTACTACATCTTCACTTCAAGTTCCTATTATTTGTACATTTATTTTTCACTTACGATCTTCAAAGCACGTTTGATATTATAGTTATACATGAAATAGTTTATAAGATCATTAATTACAGGAACGAATGAAATCGAAAACGATTCAGTGCTCATAAACTGAATTTAGATTAAAATCAAATGTTTTGTGTGTACAAGAGATACAATATCATTTATTACAGGAAATTTTACAAGGAAACTTTACTCTTCACAAAATGGTTCAGTGATGTTAGATTCTTCTGCATACTCGATTCCCTGTTAAATTCAATTAACAGGAATTAATGTTTGTCATGGATGTATTACAATGCCGTGTGCGAATTCTTACTTACGTCTTGAAAACATTTATACATTTCCTCAGAATCCTGAACCGATGAAAATACTGCTTTTAACGTCCGTTTTGTTGCTGGTTGCAAAGCATAATCGATTGCCGTCCAAATGCATTCTGTACCATCCACCTGAAACAAATAATAAAATGTTCAGAATCTTGGTCATAACAAATGTTTAATGGAAATGGATTCTAGTTTTACCTGCATCTGCGTATTTATACTGATGATCGTATTGCTCACAACTTCACCAGTTTTCTCCATTTCTAATATTATTGTGCCACCAACGATGACAGAATCATAATAAATAATTAAATTTCCTACAGCCACTGGTTTCCATTGAGCATCTTTACTTGTTCTAGTTAGTAATGTAGCTCTCCTTTCGAAAACGATTGAGGTTTCACCGTCATCGTCTTCCTCCTCCTCGTCTTCATTTTCTACTTCGTCTGCGTCATTTTCTTCCTCATCTGGTTCTTGGATCACTGAATTATCCTGCGTATTTTTTTCACCTGAATTTATATAAAATTTATCAATACTGTGCGTAAAATATATGGAATCAAGCAAGTGAAATAAAAATACAAGAGACAAGCAAAATCTGATGTAAGCTTACTTGTTATTTGTGTTATTTTTACGCCTCGTTACGGCAAGTTTTCACATTAATTAGTAAAAAAACAAATATATGAATTATAGTTTCTAGAATTATATTTTATTCGAGCGTTTCGCAATTAAAATACGTATTCGTACAATCTGTTTTCTATGACCGAATTGTTAATACAGTAATATTGACACGGTAATAATATTGTATTTATAATATCGTCTAAGACAGGTGTATCTTTACAAGTCTTTGTTTCCTTTTGTTAGAAATATAAGAATTATACGAAATTAACAAACGTTTAGTAAAACAATTTTGTACAATAATCATAAGTAGATATATCACAATAAATCTGAAAATCAAATACACTGATCGAAAAATATTTTTTAACATAACATGGTACTTTTTAAAAATAACGAAATATTCCTATACAGACGATTTTCGTAGCCTATTTAATCACACATTAGAATGCTCTTAAACAATATTACGCTTTGTATGTAAAAATAAAGCTAATTATCATAGTTTAACGATTCAAAAATATGTTTCATATAACATGTAACACAATGACGGATATCATATATCATGCAACCAAAAGCAATAATCATGAACTGAAGAAAGCTTTATAAACAAAGGTTTGCATCTTATTCCTTACGGATTTCGTTTAATGTTTGTTGGATTCTGTCGACAGTATCCTTGAACTTTGTGGCCAGTTCTGGATTCTTAAATTTAACTGCTAATTGTTCTATACATGGTGGATCCTCGGCGTAATTCATGCCTGCCCACATCCAAGCACGATCCGAAGTACTAAGTCTAGCGAATTCTATGTCTGGTGTGAGCAAGAGGTTGCATACTACTTTATGAACTTGCTCTCTACGCAACAGTAATCTGTAAGTTCCATGCCCTGCGTGATGCAAGATTTTCATTTCTCCAACACCCCTTTCTTTCCATTCGCGCGTCGCATTGACATATCTATATAACTTCGCTCTTTCACAAAATACTGTAACATAAATATAATCATTAATCATGAACGTTATTATTTATTTGCGTTCTTCTTTCCACTGTTAAGTACATACCTTTTTCTTCATCTTCTTCGCCAGTGCGTACCTCAATAACATCAGGTAATGGTACGATAGGCTCAAAATGGGGATCGTGATCTTGCTCGTTTTCATTTTCATCACACTCTTCTTCCCTATGCTCATCTTTCTTCTCTGTTATCTCCCCTTTTGTCCTTTCAGTGAATTTATTGGTTGCTTTAGAGCCAAATACGGCTGACCCAGCGCCAGCAAATGAGAAGTTTGGATCCGCTAAATATATATAAAACAATATTTTTAACATAAACTTTGTTAAGTCGTCGCTACCTTGTAGTGAAAAACATACCTGTTTTAAACGCTTGCTGAGGAGTTTTCGCCGCTAAGGCAGAGAAAGATACATCTACGGCTGGAAGGAAACTAATACCATTGTCTTTTTGAGATTCGCTTTCTGATGTAGTTGGTTTTGTATCGAATACGTTAGTTGTTGCAGAATTCGAGATTCTGAAAGGCGATTCATGTGTACGTGCGCCGAAGGGTAAGTTAAATGAAAATGGTGTAGATGCACCGCCGAACATTGAATTGGTGGTCTCAGCTGGTGTATCAAATACACTTGCGGTTGTGGTGCTTGTAGCAAACGGTGATGAATTGCTGGTAGTTATTTCTGAGTTAAGTTTCATCGCAGATGATCCAAATATCGGAGTATTCGCACCGAATATGGGAGTTACAGAGGTGGTACTAGTTGTAGTTGTTTTTGCCTCAAAGCCAAAGCTGTTTGGAAACATTGATTCGGAACTATTTGCGCTAACACTAAAGGAGCTAGGCTTAATTAATCCAGGACTATCTTTCTTCGATGATCCACCGAAGATATTCTTGCCGAATATGGACGCCGTGGATGTTGTGGGCACCGACGTTTCAGATGTTGTTTGCGCTTCAGACGTAGCAAGACCACAAATTTTCAAGTTTTCGGGTGAAAGAATATCCTGCTTATCGGTCTCAACATTTTGAGCCTCGCTAGGATGATTCTGAGACATTACGAATGAAAAACCAGTCTTCTTATCGTTCGAGGCACCAGAGTCGCTACTTCCAAATGATATAGTGGAAGGCGTCGTTGTAGCAAGAGAATTCATTGAAAACTGTGGTGCACCTGTACTGTACAGTCCAGTAGTGAAGACAGACGAACCTGTATTCTGCATGCTTGTACTTGAAACGGGCGATTGAACAGTTGTGACACTCGAGCTAGTGGTTTTTGGAGAAAATTGTATTGTGGACGCATTGGTTGTAGGTTTTTGACTAGCTGCGGTTGTTTTCAATGATGATACTTTTTCTGAAGTATCATCTTCAAACAGTGGCACGGGAGGTTCCTTACAACCCCTGCAACCAGGACAATCTTGATTCCGTTTGTACGCGTAGAAGTTTTCTGGAAGCTGTAATTTGAGCGCAGCCTCCCTCTCTTCAGGCGTTACTTTCAACTCGTATAAAACTTCTATCTCTTGAACAGGCGAACTTTTAGTAGGTTCCTCCGACTTTGTTTCTGTTTTGAACTCGATAACTGGAAGATCTTTCCCTGTTCTTGCATCGTCGACTATCTCCATAAAATTTTTCGCGATGTCGGATGTCTTGAAGCGACACGCGAACAGCGTGTGCTCGATTTCCCCTTCACTGTAATCAGCAGCAGTCCACATCCAAGTTTTTTCATCTTTCGGTTTAAATTCTAGATCAGGTAAAACAAAGTGATTTAAGCAGAGTTTCAAGATCTGCTCCCTCCTCATGACTAGCCTCAACTTTCTTGTCTCCGTGTGTCGTAGCAATTTAATATCCCCCAAACCACGTTCTTTCCATTCGTTCACTGATTTGTCGTACCTGAACAATTTTGCCCTGTGGCTATATAGAATCTCCTCGTTTTCTTCGCCCGTCTTAACTTCGATTTTATCCGGCAACGGGATTATCGGTGAAAAGTAAATGTCATCGCTCTCAACTACCTCCTCCTCGCTAATTTCACCATCCTCGGGAGATTTAGCCGGCGATTTCGCTACGAAGTTGAAACCAAACGATTTTCCTGACGATCCGAAAGTGAAGGGGGTATCTTCGTTTGACGGTGTACTTGGTGTCTGTTGCATTCCAAAGACAAACTTCGTCCCAGACGTATCTATTTTCGCGTCGGACTCTGGGATTGCTGAAGATTTAGCACTAGAAGACACGTCGTTCGCAGTAGGTAAACGGAATGTGAAACCACTTGTCTCCTTCTTTGTAGCATCGGGTGGTATGCCAAATGTAAACGTGGGGGTGGTACCAGTGGTAGAGCTGCTTATTAGAAAACCACCAGTTTTTTGCTTTGGTGGAATGGATGGATCTTTCGGTGTGTCGCAGGCGACGCAGTAATTGTTCCCAAATGTATTAAAGATATCACAGGATTTGCATTTCCATGAACCTGTTGGCGACTTGAACATTTCCGAAAGTGGTACTTGATTCGAGGCGGTTGCAACCGGAGCGCATTGCTTGTTGGTCGCAGAGGGACAAACTGCTTTACACGCTAAGCATTCGGTATTCGATGCACTGTTTCTCGTATAACAATCCTCACATTCCCACGAACCTGTTGGTGGCTTGAACATTTCCGAAAGTGGTACTTGCTTCGAGCTGGTTGCACTCGGGACGCTTTGCTTGTTGGTCGCAGAGGGACAAACTGCTTTACACGCTAAGCATTCGTTATTCGATGCATTGTTTCTCGTGTAACAATCCGGACATTCCCATGAACCTGGCGGTGGCTTAAACCATTCCGAAAGTGGTGCTTGCTTCGAGCCGGTTGCACTCAGGACGCTTTGCTTGCTAGTCGCAGAGGGACAAGCTGCTTTACATGCTATACATTCGTTATCCGATGCATTGTTTCTCGCGTAACAATCCTCACATTCCCATGAACCTGTTGGTGGCTTGAACATTTCGGCCAAAGGAACCTGACTCTTATTTATTTGCGTGTTTTGTATAGTTTCCTGTTTCTTCGTGCTTTCACAGGGGACGCTGTCCTTCTGTAACTTTTGTTGGTTATTAACGATTGTATTGTAGAATTGAGAAGCCTGAGCAGGCGTCTTAAACGTTGCTGCGAACATCCCTGTTTTTTTATCCGGTCCATATTGAATAGTCCAATTAACTACGTTGTTACTACCGCTCTTAGTACCTCTATGCTCCCACTGCTTAGTATCATTGATATAGTACTGAAGGCTTATTTTAGCTTCAAATAAAACTTCTTCCTGTTCTATTTTGGAGTCTGTACTTTGAATACCTACCCGAGCTTTCATATTAGGAGATGGTGCGTGAGGCCTTCGAAGAGCTGTTTGAGAAATGCTTGTTGCAGCAGTTTCAGTGGTTACAATGGTTGGCGCTGTTGTAGTTTCCAACTTAGAAGGTGTTGTCTTTCTAAATGCTTGTGTTCCAATAGATGTTGCTATGCTCTTCGGTGTTACGCTTTCAGCAGTTGTTACTGTTTTATTAAATGTGAATCCTGCAAATGGACTAACTTCAGGTTTGCTAGGAGTTTTCGATTGTTCAGTGACAACTACTTTCTGGATAATCGGAGTTGACTTGAATGAAAATCCACCAACAACCGTTGTCGTTGTACTGATTTTTGATCTTTCTGAACTTTCCGAAAGTGCAACAATTTCAGCAGCTTGCTTCTGATTGATCTGTCCAGAAGTTTTTGTTTCTATGGACATTGTTTCTTTCTTCTTCATATTATTTAATGGGCCACCTACTTTTGTGAATGTTCTGTTTTCAACATTTTCAGTGATTTGAGAAAGACTCACTTTAGCTTTATCAAATTGTTCCTTGAAAGACAAGCCCTCTTCCACCGTTTTAAACCTGATAGAGAACTTCTCCAATTTTAATTCTCCATCTGCAAAGTCATGTGCAACCCAAAACCAGGCCTTTTCATTATTTGCCTTGGCTGTCAGCTCCATATCAGGTGCCAGGTAATGATTTGCACATACCTTTAGTACTTGTTCTCTGCGCATAAGCAAACGAACCTTTCCTTCCTCGTTCTTGAGAAGTTTAACATTGCCGATGCCACGCTCTTTCCATTCGTTGTCCACAAAACGGAAAAGTTTTGCTCTAGCGCAGAACAAGACCTCTTCACCTTCTTCTCCAGTAGTGATTTTAACTTCCGCAGGTAACGGTATAATAGGAACAAAATTCGGTATTGGATCGTGTTCGTCCTCGTGCTCGTGATCTGAACTGCGTGGAGAATTAGTTGAGCAAATGTTAATGTTGTCCGTCTTTGGTGTTTCAGGCATAGTAATATTTGCTGGAGTAGTGGTGAGGGTAGTTGACAGAGGTGGTAGATTAACAGTGGTCAATACAGTTGCTTGAGAAGGCATGGATATTTGATAAGAATGAGGAGCAATCTGTTCTGTGGTGATCGGCATAGACGTGCTTCCTTGTCTGAAATGCGGAGGAATTGTTACGCTAAGTGTCGGCTGAACGACTGGTACTGTAGTCGGTAAAGTATCAGATGTGGTAATAACAACGTTAACCGGTGCAACTTTATTTACGGGAGCGTCCTTTATAGTCGTCTCGGGTTTCGATGTTTCAGCCTTCTGAAGTCGAATCTGTAACGATTGATTCGTTGGTGGCATCAGATCTGGTATTTGTGTCGGCAACCTTGGTGGGAATAGCCCCTGCTGAAGTACATTCTCCGGCATTTTCGACCTAGTGTTAGGATACAACACCGGCATTGGGTAAATGTTTGTACAAAAAGATGCATTTGGATCACTAAACGACATCCCTCCTGGAAAATATCCCTGAAAAGCTGTAGCTGAAGGATATACCAATTGAGAATACGGATGTCTGTGCGGCGACTGGAACATATTTCCTGATATCGAGGACGCAGGACCTGGTGGATTCGTATTATAATTTAAGTTACTGTAATCCTCTTCGTTCAACACGCACAGATCTTCGAGATTCGGATTCAAATTAACGGACTGAGTTCGCTGCTGTTGAATTTCTTTTCGTAATTCTGTTACTTCTTTTGCTAATTCTTCAACCTTCTCCATTACTGTTTTATTCAATTCCAATATACTCTTATTCTGTTCAGTTATCGATTGTATCATGCTATCCTTTGCATGTATCATATGATTAATTGCCCTAATTTGAGCATCGAGACGTTCAGGACTTGGACGTGCTTCCGAACGATTTCGTGATAAATCTAGTACGTCTTGATGTTGTGGTTTATAAGGAGTGCTGGATTGTTTCGGGGTACGATGAGGATTTTTCTGTGGTGTACTGACCATAATGGAAGCACTCAATCCTGTAAACGTTGGTAACGTTGAATTCACGACTGGTGGATCTACTGCACTATGAGCAGAAGAATAACTATCGTCCGACATCCCGTCACATTCATTTCTGCTTAAGTCGCCTCGAGATAAGTCTGGATCAATCCTCTTCAATTTATTTTCTATATCAGTAATATGCGTGGAGAGTTCCGAATTCAGAGGATGCTTTGGATTCGTTCCTGGACTACGCAAACGGTCTAATGTTAGGTAAAAGCATTCTCTAGCTTTTGAAAGCATAATAATATGTTGCGATCTCATTTCTGATGTTAAGCTTTCTTTCGGCATAGAACTGACAATCTCATCTGCGAGCATCTCATACATCTGTCCCTGTTGAAACGAAGCCTCTGGACATTTTAATGCTTGCAATGCATCAATCGCTTTTTCATACTGTTTATCCCGGACAAAACGCTGAGCTAGAAGCAACTTACCCTCCTCTAAAGCTTTTACTAACTCTGCATTGTTCATTTCTTTTCCTTGATAAGTGAAGTACTTCGAATTTGTCACACGAAGAATTTGATTATTCTGCAATCTTTCCAAAAGTGGAATCGCATTCGACCAATACATCTCAGAGCGTGCCTCTAAACTTGTTATTGCACTATTTTCTTGATCAGACTCTTTCACCATTTCTGTTCTATGATGAAATATCCGTGCTAAATGGACTAAAAGAGCTGGATGCAATCCATGATTTCCAATGCAACGGACAACTTCCAAACCCCGTTGCAATTCTAATCTTATTTCCCCCAGATCGTCATCTAATGGCTTTTGTTTGTCCATTGAATATACTTTGTATGCGGCAGACCACCACTTTTCTTGCGCACAAGTACAAAGAGTGTTGGTAAGGTCGGCTGGTAACGTGGGCAATTTTTCAGGATTTAAAAACCCACTTAATTGTTGCTCCTCCATCACCGCAGAGGCGCAAAAAATTGCCGCATTTAAAAATGCGTCGATATCGAGACGACTCAGACTATCAGGGGCTGCCTGATTCAGATTAAAGATGGAAAACTGTAATTCACAAAATACGCGTGAGGTTTGATTCGGATGGGGCTCATTATTCTTGTTCTGTGAACAGTGAGGCCGAGTTCTTAAGCCAAGCCAGATCTGATGATGTAAGGAATCTGGCCATACTTCTTCCGAGATTTCATCAAATCGTTTTAGTTCGTTATACGAACACAGGCGTAACGGTGGATTTGAATGCGAACAGTTCGCAAAATATGATGTTGTTTTTCCATCCTGATACAGTCTACCAATAAAAATTCTCTGATAAACTCGCTCACGCCACAAAATTGTGCAGAACTTATCGATTTTATCTAATAATTTTTTTGTATTATCTCGGGCATAGTCCTGTAGTATATGACCTGCTTGACTACATCTGTAAGATCCTTCTCTATACCAAACATGCACTTGATTTTTAAATCGATCCTTCAAATGCATAGTCCATACAGCTGTCGGATCTATAGGTGTTATGTGTAATGCAGTTAAGAAAAGAGGTGCACACAATCGTCCTGCTTCAGACCAACTGTCTTCTCCTATTTTAGCTTTCCGTAAAAACAGACACGCCAAATGAAAGTGTAACTGACCCCACATGTGTAATAACATATTTTCAACAAAAACAGGGTGGTTGGAGAAATTTGTTGATTTAAATTCAGTTAAACTTTGATCGAAACTGCAATTAAATATTTTAATTGAGTAATGTTCTGCATATGTATTGTATTATCTTATTAATTGTACTTACTTAAATACTGCTTGTGTGGCTTCTGTAATATTATGTGGTTTTTTTGTAATATTTCCCTGTTCTTTCAAGCAAAGTGCTGCATATCTCTCTAACACAGAAATATAAAATATCCAAAATGTCCACTTTGAGTCTTTGCTCTCCTTACATTTTATAAGCAATTCACATAAAGCCTGGTACCAAACGACACTATTTCTGTGACTGTGCATTGATTCGATTCCAACAGCATGACTATATGCATCTTCAAGCCTATGATTTCCTATGTAATGTTTTAACAATTTAACTTGTAGATGCACATCTGTTTGCCGGACTGACAATTCAGCTAAAAAAAATTATATCATTATTATGAATTGTATTAACCTTCCTCTTTGGCACATAACTATATATTGCTAAAGAATATAAAGTAAAAATCTCATTACATACAAGTAATCAGTTTCTCTAAATCTTCATTGTTACCACTTGGTTTTTCTAAAGTTAACATTTTCTCCTTCAATTGAAAAACTATTGGATGATGTGGAAACTTTTTGTCAGCTCTTTCTACCCAGTATTTAATTCTATTCACGTCAATGTTGACATCAACATCAGTCAGAAGCTCGCAAACTAGTGGACATAATAAAATATCAGATAAATACACGATTTAAAATATACAAATAATAAATTAAAAAATAAGTAATTATACCCTTTAAAACAAGATCATTTTGCTTTGGTTCCAATTCAAGAGATGTTTTGTATTGCATAAAAGCTGCTTCCTTCTGTCCTAGAGCCTCAAGGCATTGACCCAACAATTTGTAAGCTCCTGTACATTTATCCCGTACTTCCAAATAATTAGACACATATTTCTTTGCAGATTCATAGTCACCAACTTGATAATATAGCTTGGCTATGTTATAACATCGTAGATTTTTCTATAAATGAATGTAAACCAAAAATATTTTATTTTGTACATCTATTATATAAAATTATCATATTCTGTAACACTAAAGATTTGTAACTATTGTATCAACTCTTAATGAACGGAAGAATGTTATATCTCTTTTTAGGAATGTTTACTTAAAAGAAAATTAAGAAAGTCTTAAACAATATGTACAATAAAATTCTGATATTGTGGGATACAAATTAAGAAGTTCCAAATGTTATTTGTGGCCAAGTCAATTTACGCGCCTTGTGACTCTCGACTAACCGGCTGCATGAACGGTCACATCACTCGTTCTGAAAAGTTTTAAGATACGCGGAAATATCGACAGTCTAAGAAGGAAATTCAACAACCGGGCTAGTAAAGAAACAAACCTATACATCTTAAAAATCCGCCAAACCGTTCTATAGACGTAACGCATATACGTATACGCGTTGTCTTCAGAAACTAGTCAAGGTCTTCCGTACTGTGTAATGTATGTGCTTGACATTAAATAAAAAATGTTACGTTTTGATATTTGTACAAAGTTCGTACGGTATAACTATAAAACAGCTGCGAAAATAACAAATGAACAATTGAATGGAATGAAATTCACGGTTTTAGCTGGCAATGTTTGGTGGTAACAACTTTTCCGTTAAAAAATAACCTTACCTCCTCCGAGTTTCTGAGCTTGATAAAAATGTCTTTCACATGTCGGTCGACATCCTTCTTCGAACGAAACATTTTCAGAGGTGTAATCGAAGCTTTTCTCAATTCTCACGTTTGAAATTAATGATCAGTGTCTGATTAAAATAATATTAGTTACACCGTTATATGGTGTGAGCACCACGATAAGACTTCCTCCACACCACACAATTTCTCTTTCAAACGGTTTTGTCCGAATCAGGAAAAAAAACGATTATTGTGCACTGAGTTTCTTTCAATTTTTTTTCAAAATATACTATATTGAATTGAAAATATCTCACTGTAATTGTTACAGATTGAAAATCTTTAAATGTAATCAATCTGAAGTTGTAAAAGAAATTCAAAATATAAACATGTAAAACAGACTGACAACATTAAAAGATACCTGCACAACTGCACAAGATATTCCGAGTAGATGGTAACCGGTGTTTATTATTGTTTTATTGCGTTTACGGAATTTCTCAAAGAATATAAAGCAATTAGATGTTTTATGTTGGAATACGAGACGTGTCCAAATAAAAATAAAAGAAACAACACATTTGTGAGGACACCACTTTCTTATATAATTTATATTTCTGGTTCGTCATTAAAATGTCTTAAAAGGTTACATATCCAATCCAGGACACTTTCCGGAACAGTTTTCAATGAGGGACAGTCCTGTACGCATAATCCAGGACGTCTGGTTACGTCTGGTCACGCTGGTCACTTTAGTTAAATTTAATAAATACATTTAATCATAGTGTATATATATATATTTAGTCATGTATTGCAATGAATTTTGATTACTGTAGAATATGAAATTTATTAGATTAATATTTGATTGTGTACATTCATTATAAACAACATTTTAGGTTTTATTTATAAAATACAGAACGTAGAAAAAGAATGTTCTACAAAATGAGTATAAATAATATGCTATATAATTGTTCCATATTTATTTTCAAATTAACACAAATTGTTATAAATTTGTTAAAATTCAATCTAAAAGACTTAATGCAATTTAGACACAGGAATTGTGTGAATGTGTTGTATCACAGTGAAAATTTCTTAGTAGTATCTAAACCATATGATATGTATATCAATAGCAATAATCCTGAAAAAAAGGTATGGCAATGAATATTTATAAATATGGAAATGCATCTATTTTACTATTGTATATTTGAACTTTTAGGATACTCTTCAATCAGAATTAAAAAAAATTTTACCAAATCTGGCTAATCCAAGTTTATTCCATGAATTTCATTTTGTACACAGATTGGATTATGCAACAAGCGGTGTTATATGCATTGCTTTAAATAAAAAAGCAGCAAGGGCTGCTTCAAATGCATTTGAAATACGAACAGCAAAAAAATTTTATTTAGCATTACTCCATGGCCACATCAATGAACCTTATGTTGTTATAGATAAAGCAATCGGTTGGTAATCAGATAAAATATATTTATAGAAATAATGATTTATTAAGAATAATACCTTTTTCTTAGGAATTGATATAAGAGAAAAGATGGGAAATCATAAGATGTGTGTTAGTGATAATGGTTTTTGTGAAAAACCAAGAAAGTCTTGTACAATACTTGTAGTATTAGAACATGGTTTCAGAAATGGAAAGCCAGCTACTAAAGTATTGTTATGTCCAGAAACTGGTAGGAGACACCAATTGAGAGTACATTGTTCTTACATTGGTCATACAGTAATAGGAGATTATACATACAGTGAAAGAAAAGATGTAGAACCTTATCGAACATTTCTACATTCTTTGAGGTATAATGTTTGTACATATAACTCATATAATGTACATATTAGTATTCATAACTATTTCTTGTTTAAGGTTGATATTGAACAATGATGTTGAAAACTTAGATGTAAAGAGTATAGATCCATTCCAAGCCTCTGACCCAAGAAATCAATGGTTACCAACAAACATTGCTAGAGTTTTAGATGACAGGATATTTTTTGATGTGTATAACCTTATGCAATAAAACTATAACTTATTTTGTAATTCATTTTGTATCACTTACTCTATTGCTTTAACCCCAGACCCTTGTATTTCAAATGGAATAGTTATTTCAGGTAAGTTTGATGATAATTTGGTACAAGCATATCTAAAAGAATTTACTCTATAAAAATATATAGAATTAGTTATCATGCTCAGCCATGTTGTTCCTAAAGCTGGAATTTCCCTTGAGTTATCATTTAATATATTATTGTCGACAGTAGCCACGACCTACAATCAAATTTCTGATATAATATTTTAAGGTTTTACTATTGCCTAACACAGTCAAATATTATTATTTTACCTGATTGATACAAACTACACAGATGTCATTACTACATAACTTATGTAATTGTTGTCCAATTGTTCTTAAACATTTTGCTCTAGATTTAGATTCATTATTCCAATCTTCTACTCTATATGGTGCAGCAATTGAGTCTATAACTATCAGTCCGATCTTCTGTGCAGACATTAGTATAGGAATTCTATGAAGCAAACATATTTCCAGTTCTTCCTATAAACATAAGAAATGAAATATCATATAAAAAATATAATTATAATATAAGTAATATGACTATTACAATTGTTGATGAATGTTCCACAAAGATTAAGTCACCATTTATTCCATATTTCTTAGTAACTTCTAATTCTTGTATTAACTGCTGTAGCCGTCTTGATGGAAAAACAGATTCTGTACAAATGTACACAGCACCTACATTATTAGTAAATTTAAATTTATACATGTGCACAAATATTATTTCTTGTTTTTAACAATACAAAATATAAAAATCAAAGAATACCTGCTGCAAAACCACCCTCTGTTGCAGGTAGTTGCACTGTAAGACACAGTTGTAAGGCTAATTGTGTTTTTCCTGTACCAGCAGCTCCATAAATTTGTGTAATCCCGCGTGTAGTGATACCACCATGAAGTATTGCATTGAATTTTGAACAACCAGTTGTGAGAAATTTTTCACGTTCCTTCATTAATTTTGCACTTTCTGATTTTATAAAACATGAACATATAAAAACGTATAAATTAGATAAAAACAAATCAAAATTGAACAATGCAAAAAATATATGCGTATCATGCATATCTCTGTAAAGATTAAACATGTATCGTTTACAAAAAATTTAATGATATTACCAAAATAATCTTCCATCAATTCCATTCTTACAAATATATTTGTTGAAAGTTTTAGTCAACTATTAACACGTTGAAAATTGATCATAGCAAGTACAATAAATAAATAAATAATACGAGCCATTAGTATATATGTTTTAAAGTACAGTTTACATTTCACTGACAGGTTAATAGATGGCGGTTCTTTGAAATATGTATTAGAACCGTAAAAGATATGTACATATTTGAATGAATGCATAAAAATTAATACAGAAAAAGAGGGCAAACTTATATATTTTCGGATCATATTCACGAGGATATATAGGGCGTATGTTATTTTTTGTTTAAATATTTTCTATTTTCATTATTTCTTATTCAAATATTGTAAAGTTCAAAATTAAAAGAATCAAAATATTTCTTTTATACAATTAATTTGTATTTTATAATCTTTAAAATTAGGTTTACTCTAGTAATAGTAACTATTACTTTTTCTTCAGCACTTTTTCCTTCCGTTTTTTTATATGTTTCTTCATTTTAGCTTTCCTTTTCTCGGCTTGCTGTTCCTTCACGGCTTTTTTTCGCGCCTGAAATACAAATTTTATACTTTTACCCTGTACAGAATCTTATTCGAATATATTGTACAAAAGAAAGAAAAATAGTACTTTTTTACTTTCCGGACTCTCGTTTCGAGGCCGAGCCGAACTTACGAACTTCGATTCGCTTTCCTCTAGATTTTCTTCTTCACTGTCTTCATCGTTTTCGTCAGAATTATCAATTTCTTCAGACGAATCGATCATTTCCTTAACACCGTTGGTTTCATAGTCTCTGGCGAGAATTTCAGGAGTATCAATAGGCTTGGACAAGTCAGCTTTTAAGCCAACAAGGGTTTTATATATTAACTTTTCCTTTCCAGACTTAGCAAGCTTTATGTCGCGTTCAATATCAATGACCTAAACACGCTTATATTAAAATTGTATACCTGTGAAAATTAATACGCACATACAAGTTCATATATATTACTCATTATGGACATGTACATTTTAGTATTCTTCAACATTACCTGAGTTAAATTTTGAGGAATGTAAGCTTGCTTAAAAACTTGTTCTTCAATTTGTTGTACGGAATCAATGTACTGTTCATTTTTCTGTGTCATTTGCTCTGATATTTTATCTAAATAATTATCCATATTCTCTTCAGTTACAGTCGGATCTGTTATAAAGTCGAATAGCGCCTTAACAGTCATCACACCCACTTCATTCTTCTTAAAAAATTCTAGAAGTATAATTTAAATGATTTTAATCCCGAGGAATTAGTTGTTCTTTTAATTCATTATAAAATTTTTATGCTTATATACCAGTTATATTTGTACAATCCTTTCTAAGAAATTCAAATGCCATAGGATGATCGTGTTCAACTGCCTGAGATACATCTATTATCACTATAGACCCATTATAATATAGCATATTATACTCGCTTAAGTCAGCATGCACAAGCTTGCATTTATTATATAATTTCCACATTATTTCAATACATTCTCTATATAATTTTCTTGGTTTTGAAGAAGCAAGTACAACATCTTTTAGTTTAGGAGATGGCCAGCCATTAGTGCCAATGAAATCCATTAGTAGCACATGACTACGCAGCAAAATTGGTTTTGGAGCATTTACTCCTCCTTGTTGAAGACGTATCAAGTTTCGAAATTCTTTTTCAGCCCATGTTCGTACCATTTTACGGGGATTATGCCGACAATATCCATGACGAAAACGAAATTCTCCAGTGACATATTTATCTCGATCTTTGAATTGTAAAATTGACGTTTTATATATTTTTATAGCAAATTCTATGCCTGTCTTTGAAATTGCATGGTAAACATTGGCTTCTTTCCCTGTTGAGATACACCCATTAATCTCTGCAATTATACCCTGATTTAAAAGCTTAAATAGTATCATTCTTGTACGAGGATCCAAAACTTGTTCAACAGTTGCACGATCATGCTTGTCTTTAGTTCTGAGTCTATCTTTTTCTATGCGTTTATCATTTTCAATCAGAAGATTTTCTGCATGCACTGGTAAAGATGGGCCTTCATATTTTTCCATACTGATTTTATTTGCATAACGACGAAACAGTTTATCTGATGGTTGATAGTTTGTAATCTTCTTGGAAATATTTTGAGTATTGATATTTTGGGTTTGAATATTCTTTATAATATTCTTTGATCCAGTTTTCTTCTGATCTATATTCCAAAGAAAACTATTCTCATCCAAATCATCATCTTCTTCCATATCTTCTTCTTCACTATTTGATATATATAACTTATCTATATCTTTAGAGAGTTCACACTGAAATAGCGGTTGTCCTTTACATTTTGCTAATCTAAAAATAAAATATCATAATTAAATGACGTATTATTAGAAGAAATATAAATAAATAATACACATACGATATTTGATCCTCATCAGCATCACTGAATTGACCTTGTTCATCCTGCGTTGACATAATGCTAATTGTTTTTTAATCGTCACGTTTCTCAAAATATTGTCAAATGTTTCACACGATGATGATAATAAAAGTATGAAACTGTTATAATCACGTTTTCGTGAAGCTTAAATAGAAGTCAGGTTATATTTTAGTTACATTAAGGCGATTTTCAATTGACATGGAGAATTTATAATTTATTTTCTACCGTAGAAAAGTTCAACCTGCTTATTGTCAACTATGACGTTTTCATATTGTTATATAGATAAATTTATATTAAACATTATAAGCTAATTTACAGTAATTGCATCTAAATTTTTTCATACTTCTTCTTAAATATTTAAAAAGAATTTGTCCTCGTTTAAAAAAATTCAATTGTCTATCTTTAGTGTTTATTACCCATGATTAATGTGTGAAAACGATATTTTGTTTACATGAATCTCTATTTAAATTATAAAATTATGTTACGATGACAGAGAGTAAGATATTTATTACAACAAAGTACCAAAAATTTTATTCTTGTTGATTGTAGATTAATTATGAAATGAGGAGTAAATGAATTATATAAAGAGAAGAAATGCAGTGAAGAATCGTATTGTATGTTTTTCTTCATTAATGCAAAACATTTAAAATATGTAATAGGAATTCATTTTTCCATTTTATAATTTTTTGAAACTTCTTAATGATACAGTTGAAACATTAACTCAAAATCTGTTTCAGATTCTGCATGCTTGTATTTTTCTACAAGAATGTTTATCAGTATGATTATATTATTTAATTCTTGCTTTCTTACATCGAAACGCTATAAAAATTATGTGCAATTATAAGTGTGAAGTACTCTAAAAGGGTAAGCAATTTTTTAATATAAATAATTGGGTAACACTATTAATATATTTTTTGTTTATTTTAGGTGTAGACTTAAAAATACCTAAAGATGCAAAGCATTATGCGATCTATAGAAGAATGCAATATCATTCGATATGCATCTTACAGAACTGCAGCAAAAATGCAAATCTTACACAAAGAGCTTAGTAGTAAGTCTAATAGTATATTTTTTAATACAACAGCATTATTTTGTATATGATTTCTTCATTTCATTTTTATAGTGCAATATATTCAATTGGAATTAATTGCTGGAGTCTTTGAACGGCATAGACTTTCAATTACAGAAAACTGTGTGAATTTGGATCCAAGTGAAATTGAAGATGTTCTTTCTGACATTTATTTTGCAGCTTGTAAAGAAAATGATACTAATTTTGATGTTGATGTTACAACAAAACTTGCAGTGAATTATATTTTAACTACATTTGATAAGTATGTTATCTTAGGTGTTGCACCTTTTACATTTTCTAATGGAATTGAAAGAAAGGCATAATATTGTTTGACTATTACATGTTTAATCAATTTTGCAGACAATACACTAGGAGTGTTTCAGTATTTTCTGTAAAAGTTGCTTTAATACTAATGAGTTCTGGAAAATTGCAAGAAAAATATGGATATTTTTATCAACAATTAGCAGATCATAATGCATGTTTATCCAAAGCTAGTTTGCACACGCTACTAACTAATATCTGCAAAATAACGGAAATGCTTGGAGAAAGTGCTGCATATGGGTATCACAGTATTCAAACACATATTGACAATTGTTTTTCAAAGGTACAAAAAAACTTTTAAATATGTTTGATTTATACTTAATTCATCAAATTTCCTGATAGTCACAAGGATGTCTTGGAGTCACTGAATCAGAGTTTGCTGCATGGATTATGCAAGAACCTCTTTTGCTTGTTTGGATAACAACATTTAATCGCATGAAGTCTGCAGAACACAGTATGTATTATTTTACATCTTATAATAAGCCAATTTCAGTTTTATGAATATTTACAAATGTTTTTTTTTTATTTCAGTTACACATAATGTAAGATGCTCCTCTTGTAAAATAACACCTATTCAAGGACCACGTTACACATGCTTAAAATGTACAGCATATTATCAGTGTCAACAATGTTTTTTATATGGTAAAATGTCAGGAAAACATAAACTGAAGCATCCAGTTCGTGAGTTTTGTACCAAGGTATGTTATTATTCTTTATCTTTTTATACAGAATGACGTATATAAATTTTTTTCAGACTTCAAATCGAGAAATAACAAAATTAATTATTGAGTTAATAAGGAATAAATTAAGACTGTGTCCTGCCAGATCAATTGATGTGAATATTGAGGATCAACCACCACATGTAACTGGGTTGGTAGATATGACAAAATAATATAAAAATGTATGAATATATATGTACTTAATTTTCTTTTTTTTTCTTTGTTACAGTAATGAAGTGACATACATTGATAATGAATCCATAAGAAGTACAATGAGAAGACGAGTTTTGCATGATCCACAAAAAGAACTACAGAGTATAATAACTCACTTAGAAGAAGAAAATAAACAATTGCAGATTGAGTTGCTTGATATACAGGGTACTAAAGCAGAGAGACTTCAGCGCCATAGAACTACAATTGAATCACAGTTACAACGTCTAAAATTATTAAAAGTACAATTGTGTTTTATTCTTTAAGATATATAAAAAATCGTAATAACGGAACTGAAATACTTAATTACTTTTAGAAATATTTGTTTGCTGAGAGGAATCATATGCCTCGTGTAATTAATTATATGCAAAGTACACCAATGATTCCATCATTATCATTGAGATTAGCTGCCTTACCCATAAATTTTGAATTAAGTCCAATTATTCGCCAGGAAAATATAGAACAGATCTCTAATTCGAACGATACAAACACATTGCAATCGAATAATTTTAATGCAACACAATCTGGAGAATATGTTATTGAAGAAAATCATGACACTGGTACTGGGGAAGCTTCTGCCAGTTCAAATTTTGTTAACACACTAGAACCGACTCATATAGAACTGAGTACATGGATTGGAGGTATAACATTATCAATAATTCTTGTTGTGTGAAAATGCATGTAAATTTTTACATTTTATAAGTAACAATTCTAATTGATAGGTACTAGAAGATCAGAAATAAATCCAACTGATAGTGGCTTTTCCCAGTGGTTAGATTCTAATGACTCTGGATCTAAAAAAGAAAAGTATTCATTGAAAACAGTAACACCTAGCACTGATAATGAATCACCTTTAATTATTTCTGACTCTTTCATGGGCATTCATAGAGATAATACACCATCTTCTCTTCAAAGGCCTGACAAACATTCACAACATAGCAGTTTACAAAACATTCAAGGAGACTTGAATGATATATTAGATAGGTTGCAAAATATGGTCGCGGAAGACTGTTTACTAGACGGTATATTATTATATTGTAATGGTATAAATTGTTTTTATTATAAATTAATATCTTTACAGAAGTATATTGTTGCAGATTCTTACGTAGCTAATGATAATTGTAAATTAAAACGTGCAACAACAGAAATGGAAGATTTATTAACAGGACTCATTCAAGGTATGGAATCTCGCAAAAGTAAACTTACGACTATTGTGTGACAGATTTTGAACTACAACCAGTATTTCGTAATATCAACGTAAATATATGCAAAACATATCTCCGTCCGTGTACTCAAGCATTTGAAATGATACTTATCGATAGGTTATTGATATGAACTTCAATAGAGCAGTTGAAATTTAGTATATAGAAGTAATGTGCAATGATGGCAAACGTTAAAACAGTTTTTCTTGTATTATAAAAGATAGAACAATTAATACATACAAGTTTATAATTAGTTTAAAAATATCAGTTCTAACTTGATTAAAACTTGTGCGTGAATTTAATTTTCCATTAAAAATTTTGAAGCATTATAGTAATAAATTATTTTTATACAATTTCAAATGCAAATTAATATACATAAAAGTTACAGTTTACATACATATAAGATGAATGTGTATAATATAATAAAGTAACAAAAGAATAGTACTTTGTTTAATGAATACACACATGGTCAAAGTTTAAATGGGAATAAAAAATTTCTTTTTCTGTCATAAAATAACACCAAATTCGTAAAAAAAATATATAAATACAATTCATCGTTTTGATGAATAGACTAGATTATTTAAAGTAATTGATTTGTATGCCAATAGAATACACTCACTTATACTATATAAAATACATATGGTACTACATGTCTTTTTCATGTAATAATGTATCTGTTAAATAAGTAATTTTAAGGTGTCGTGAGAAATGTACTTTCTCTGATGGTAAGTTTACCGTCCATGCCATTACACGCACACCACGATTATGCCACGTTTGTACGACATACCTAAAATAAATATTGTAGAAAAAATATTGAATAATCTGTTTTACATAAATAACGTGAAAGATTTATGTACATACGGGTTTATCGTATCTTTATGCAATAATACAACCGAAACACCAGTAAGATAGTATACAAAATGATGAAATGCCCACTCATAAACATGATCGAATAAACCAACCGCCATATGTTTAAACAGATTGTTAAATCGAACTGGTCCTGGTCCGTCGAAAGCTAAGTATGACATTCTTGAAAAATAATACGGCCACCATGCTAGACTTGAAACAATTCTGGGTTCCTTTCTTCTAAGCTGCAATCACAAAATTGTTATTTAATTAGTCAAGTATTACTTATACTTATTCACATCTTTATATATTCAATTACCATATATATAATAATAGGATTAAAACTGGATACGATTCCCCTTTGAAATAATTTTGGATACTTTCTGTATGTGTCTAAAATTACTTGTACAACTTCTACTCTTGTTTCCTTTACATCTATAATTATTCTTTGTTCATTCTTTAAACATACTTCTAAGACATCATCAAATGATGGAATTTTTTCACCATCAACAAATTTTTCCCTATAAGTAAGACATTACATTTGAGGTTTACGTTTTCGTATAAATATTCTACAATAAAAACGTTCAAGTAAGTACTTAAGTGGGTGACTGTGGGTGATATCCAATTCTTTCAATTGATCCCATGTCATATCCTTAATAATTCCACTTTTTCCAGTAATTCTATCAATTGTTGTATCATGAAATACTATGGGTACATCATCTTTTGTAAGATGTAAATCAAGTTCAACTCCTTTGCAGCCTTTATCTTTGCTCTATAAAATATTGCACAATTATTGTTCTACCTGCCATTTAGTCTATAAAAAGCAATCCTTTAAAGTAAAAACTTTTTTGTTAGTACTACTATATTAATGTTCATATATACATTATCAAATAATTAAGCAATTTCTGTTGCTATATAGATACCTAGTATTCCAAACTAGATAACTAGTAATAAGTTGCTTTGTTATTTTTTTAGAGCGATTTCTAAATGTAAGAATAAAAACCATTATTATATATAGGATTTTACATTACGAAAGGCTGTTAAGCTGTTCTCAGGACAATCATATGCTCCACCACGATGAGCCACCACTCGCATGCAAAACTGCTCTCCATTACCATGATCCTTGGATATATTACTATCTTTTTTTGGTGAGAGGAGATTCACACCAAGCACTTCATGTTTAATCTGTATACTTGGCTGTGGAATTCTGGCTAATTTTAATCCAAATGTAATAACAATAGTACCCCAAACAATCCATGGTATACAGAAATGATAAAAAACACTTATCAAAGCACTCCAGATAGTTTGTAAAAATATCCACAATAAAGTACTGTTTAAAATTAGTTCAATAAATCCATGCATCTTTTAAGGGGATCTTTAGTGTTGTTAACTTCTTTTCCAAAGAAGGAACAAGAGTGTTATTAACTCTATAGAAAATAAGACATTGAATACAATACTGTTGCACAATGCTTTGGATTACTTGAGCATGTGATTCTGCACATTTTTGTAGACACTGTCTAAGCTCGATAATCTGTAATTGTGTGTTGAAAGTGCATTTTTGCACTGCTGTATCTACAGTCAACACAATGACAACTGGATGCTTTTCTGTACCTGAAACAGTTCATTCAATTCTTATTATGTACATATAACTGAAATCTATTAATTTCTATGTAATACAAACAACAAATATTGTGTGCCACTTAAACTTTCTCTATCATAAATTATCGTTTTCAATTAATCTCTTTCATCATAAGATGCAATTATGTACACTAAACAGAAATGATAATTTACCAAGATGTACTGTCGATTAACCCACAGTTTGTATTTTGCGTTTCTGTAACAGCAGATCCTATCACAACGTAAAACATAAAACGTCAGTTTCAGTATTAAGCAATGTTTATTAAATAAAGAATATTAAATCTGCAATATTTTTCATGGTAAAAAATATACACAAACAATGTATCGCACACTCGTCCATTGGCACGACTGATCAGACACTATCATACTATGTAATTTTACACAGTTGTGTGTACCAGCGGTCGTGTGTATATATGCACCAGCGCAGCGTGTCAATAGTACTGAATAGTTAGTACACAGTACACTGTATATACACACTCTTAGCGAGTTGTGTTAGTATCATCAAGTATCATTTATTTTTTTTCAATTAACAGGTAGTACCGAATACAAAAAATGAAAAATTATTCAGATTAAAGAACTCATTCGGCTAATTGCAAACAACTCGAGAATTAATATACTACTATAATTGATTGAAATTATATTGCACTAAAAAAGTATTATTTACAGCAAAAGAAATAATAACTATTTTATAGTGTGCAAATGTGCATGGAGACAAAAAGGCGCGTTAAAAGGAGTTGAATCAAAAGATTAGAAATGGCACACATCAATCAGAGATTCATAATGGGGGACACATTAGACTTTTTGACAAAATATCACAGTATATCTAATAAACTAAAAAAGTAGGTATATTATGTGTTTTCATTTTCTTAAGTAGTTTATTTCTTTTAGGCTTATTTTATTATTAACATTTCTATTTTAGACGCTTTTTAAGAAAGCCAAATGTTGCTGAAGCAAGCGATCAATTTGGTAAGCTACAGAAAATGTTGCAATTTATACTTTTTTTTTATAAATATGTAATCAAAGAAATATAGTATCGTTAATTGTTTTTAAGGAATATTGGCTATCGAATGTGAACAGAAGGAATTGTGGCAATATGCAGGCTTATGTTCATTAGCTGCAGCTAGATGTCAAGGAACATTAGACAATGTATCTTCAGAGTTGAACTTTTTAGTAAAAGCAGGTAGAGAATTTCTTGTGGCAGATAAAAAAGATAAGGATATAGGATGCCCCTCTATAGGACAGGAAAATACACAGGTTCATTATTTTTTCTACAGAAATTCATAGACAATGATATAAACGAGAAAATATTGAACTTTTAATCTTTATATCAGGCTGCTATAAGTTGTTTTGGTCATGCTCTGGCACGCTGCCACAATCAAGCAGGATTTAATACCATGTCTGCTGGATTAGCTCTAGAATTGGCAATAGCTTTAGGTCCTACTCCAGCTGGTACACAGCAACTGCATAAAGCTATTGATATTTTTCCAACTGCAAAAGCTATTAGCACACTGGTGTCATATCACATTAAGCAGGGTAATTATTGATTTAGATAATTGTGTTCAGTTAGGTTTCTTAAGTGAATATATTATTTATGTAGGGGATTATGTGTCTGCTCTACAAATTCTTAATGAGTTCGTTGAATTTATTGAGATTTATATCAATACTGGTGCAAGAGGCAACTACAGTGTTATATTACATAGGTATTGAAATAACAAAAATGTAAAAGCATGATTGTAATAATAGAAATTATAAGAATCACACACATGTGCAGGTGTGAAGTAACCAGAGTACTGTTATTACTCATACTTCAGCCATCACCACAGAGGCTTACACCTTCATTGGTCCAAGTATTAGAAAAATATGCATGGGTAGAAGAAACTTCAAATAATGGTAGGCAGTGGTTGTACCTTCATTTTAATAATTTGAACACATCCTAATTAATTAACAAATAATGTGTTACAGATTTTAATATGAGTGAGGATGAGTTGTTACTGTTACAATCTTTAGTGTTAGCATCTCAGTCACATGATTATCAAGCACTGTTAGAATTGGAAGGTGAATTGTGGCCCTCTTTGGATGCAGAACAAAGGGAATTATTGCACAAACTAATTCAAGTACTAACAGTGCAATGAACGAACAATGTTCTGCATACAAATAATAACAAATAATCTTGTAAATATTGAATAAACACCTGGAGTTCTTTAAATGTATGGAGTATTTCAAATTTCTTTGCTCATTGAATTATATTTTATGCTTCCAAAGTACATCTGAAAATGATTTCCCTGATGAAATAACATGTTGCTTAAACTGAGTACATTTTAATGAGTCAATTCTGTACAAATCATCTTATGATGCAAATGGTCACTGTTCGAGCCTCGTACGTGTGTCGTCGTTCCCTCCATTCTTAGCATGAAAAAGGCAGGTAAACGGTGTGGCGTTGGCTCTGTGTGAATGGAAGAACTTGTTGCAGCGGAAAGCAAGGACTCGAGAGGATCGAAGTATAAAGTGTGCGTGCCTTCACAATGATTCGTGCGATGGTACCGCGGAAGAGGGGATGCCTTGCGTTCCACGAATATACTAAACTCTACTTTCTTATACCAGAAGACGAAGCAAGTGGTCGGAACCGTACTCAGTGATTACGCGGCCGCGTCCTCGAATCCTTCTGCATTAATCTGACGTAGTCTCATAACTTACAATCTTGTGTTACCGAGGTAAAAATTTATTTTTGTCTGGTCCTAATAATTCTTTTTTAATTAAACACGTATACATTTAATTAAAAAAAAAGCATTCGATGTATAGTTGTACTCTTTATAATTACAGACATAAGTTAAAGAAGCTTCACTATTAACATATTATTTGATATTTGTAATATCACACAAAACGAAATTGTATTCGTAATTTTCATAAGTATTTTTATTTTTACCAGCTACGATCTTCATACATTAAAAACATAAGGAATTGATATTTTTTACTAAAGAGAACTATGTAATTACATTGTGTTCGAGTTGTTATTTTTTGAAGAATCGGAAAAGCGTTTATAATGTGCCAGAGGTGTCTGAACTTCGTGTACCGTTAAGTGGGTACTCTGATGTAGGACTTTAAATAATCTTTTTCATCATACAGTATGAAAAGTCATTATTTCTGTTACTATTTTTCTACATAATTTTGATCTTACGCGTCGTATTACCTTATTTCTCTTACGCGTAGCGGAAAGTTTTGTAAAATGTTATGTTGGAAATTGAAAATGTTCTGTAATATGTAGACGTGCTTCCAATTGAAAGAGGTAATTTGATTTTGTGTAATTTTACATTAAATGTAGAAGTGTCTACTAAAAAATAACTGTTTATCGCACGCGTTATAAATGTAATAGATGTACCACGTGTTTTAACGACCTTGAACTCCACACAGTTCAACACAGGTGAATGTACGAAGCACCTGCGTATCTCACTTTGTATGGGGGACAGTATTTACGAACTATTCTCGCTTATTTCGGTTTTCAAAAAGTACTGTAAAATGATCGAAATAAGTGTATGCAATTTTAATATTTCAATCCTTCCTTTTCTGGTAGGAGAATGAGCACAGATTGGAGAACCATTTTCGTGACCGGCGGAGCCGGTTACATCGGTAGCCACTGTATTGTCGAGCTTTTGGAAAGCGGGTACGATGTTGTAGCGATAGATAACTTTGCTAATAGCGTAACTGAGGGTTGCGGTGAATCCGCGGCTCTTAAAAAAGTTGAGCAAATAACAGGGAAGAAAGTTACTTTCTACAATTGTGATCTGATCGACCGGGATAAACTCGAAACAGTCTTCAGTAAGGTACTAAATAGTTTGTTGACAACATTTTTTCTTTTTTTTCGATAATATTTAAACAACACATTACTTTTAATTTTAGCACAAAATAGACTGCGTGATCCATTTTGCGGCAATAAAGGCGGTTGGTGAATCGATGCAAGTTCCTCTTCATTACTACCGAAATAATATTATTGGTGCCATCAATTTACTAGAAGTAAAATCTATTTGAACAAGCTTTTAAGTAGGTACTATTTGATCTATTATAAAAATAAATGGATATTCATTTCTTCAGGTAATGAAAGCTGCTGGATGCTACCAATTAGTTTTTAGCAGTTCTTGCACCGTATATGGAGAGCCGAATGTACTTCCAATTACAGAGGAGCATCCGACTGGTAATATTACGAACGTGTACGGTAGAACAAAATATTTTATCGAAGAAATGCTTAAAGATATATCGACATCTGAGAAGGTGTGTTTAAAATTGTTAACTTTGAAGAGTATTGATGATTCATTAACAAAGAAAGATCTCTGTAAATATATGTACATATTTTCGTTATTTTATTCAACAGAATTGGAATATCGTTTCTCTAAGATACTTCAATCCAGTAGGTGCTCATCCTAGTGGCTTGATTGGAGAAGATCCTACAAAACCATTTACGAATTTAATGCCTTATATAGCTCAAGTAGCCTTGAGGCATAAGCCTGAACTCGTTATTTTTGGGGGCGATTATCCCACGAAAGACGGTACAGGTAATATCTAATCGTTTTAATATCTTTTAAATGATACGTCGCGAAAAGAATACTTTTAATTAATTTAATTATTTATGTATCTTCAATCTTTACATCTTTTTCACAGGTGTACGCGATTATATTCACGTAATGGATCTGGCTGCTGGTCATGTGGCGGCTCTAAATGCTTTACATAAACGACATTTGAGGATAAAAATTTATAATTTAGGTACCGGCAAGGGTGTGTCTGTACTCGAATTAATTAAAACTTTCGAAAGCGTTACAGGAACAATAGTACCGTATGTTATTAAAGACAGGAGGGACGGTGACATAGTGTCTATGTACGCTAATACAGATTTAGCAGAAAAAGAATTAAGATGGAAGACCAAATACAATGTCGAACGGATGTGTAAGTAAATCAATATATTCATTTTAAATTCAACAATTGCCTAAGAATGTTTGTAATATATAGGTGAAGATTTTTGGAGATGGCAAACAAAGAATCCATATGGCTACCGTGCACCAGTTAAAAATGGTACCAGCGAACATGTAAATGGCACTTCATAATGATACAATCTGATTTTTTTGAAAGTATAATTAATTTATAATAATAATAATAAAACAAAAATATTGAAATATTTTTCATATATTACATGGCAGTCTTAACTAATCAATCTATTTACATCTATTTTATTATTATCTTGAATTTCTTGTGCTTCTTCTACGACTGTATAGAGTGACGTGTGTTGAAACTTCAGAACTTCAAGACCCCAACTTGTCCACTTAGGAAGTAAGTATCTTGCAAATATTTCTAAACACTTTGGTTCATTTGGAAGATATCCTTTCATAACTTCTATAATTTTGAGTAATATGTTTATGCAACTTGATTACTGTATTCATTTAATAAAAAGCGTTAATAATGCCGATGTATGATTAATAACAATCATACCTGTAAGTGGTGGTTTGTGAGAATGTACTGCACTCGGAACACTTATTATTATTTTTTCATCTGGAATTTTTATTTCATCACCATTTAATACAGATCCTAACACTAGCAATTCATAAGGCTGTTTCCCAAGTGTTAAATTGAAGTTACATATTGTATTCCCTGCTTGAGTGACCTAAAATATAAATCAAACCAACTGTTAATGACATTTCTATCAACTATGTCTTTTAGAAATCTGTAAATATTATGTACTTATTGTATTTACTTTTATCCAATACCACTTTGCCCTATATGTAATACCCCATGATGGGAATATATTGTTAAAAATACTATGAAGATGACTGGGAGCATTGGTGCACCATATTGCTACAAGTCCATTTGAACGTAATAACTTCCCAATTGGTATCTTGGCTAACTCCTCGTTATACATCATTTTATAACTGTTTTAACATAAGAACATTAGTCACAATTTGCATAATACATAAAATACATTCATAGCAGATAGCTATTAGCATTATTATGCGCAGAATAATTCTATCTAAAAGAAAGAAGACTATAACAATTCTAAAATGTGTCAATGCTGTTTCAACATTGTTTAACAATATTTTTATCTTGAAAAATTGCATCTAAAATCTTATTTACCCATATGCTTGAAAAACTGAGAACAAGGAAAACTTATACTATTATCAAAGTCCTTATTCTCATTAAACTGTTCAGAAAGTTTGTTTTTTATTGGCTTATACTAAACCATACAAGATCACCTAGCTTCTAGATATCTGGTTTTTTTCCTTCTTATAGACTTGTTCCACCAAGGAGGATCCAACAATATAAAATCATATTGATTGTTTAGTTCTAATTTCTTGGTAATATCTTGCACATCATAACAATAAAAACTACATTTCTTTGGGAAAACATATTTTTTTTCTTTTGTTCTTGAAATAACGGCTACATTTGTATCATTGCAACCATAAAAGTATTCTTCTTCCACAGAAAATGTATCCTGATAAAATTGCTGAGATACCAAGCGTGCTGCCTCATTATTATTAGGTGTTACATTGGACACAAAAAAACCTTCTGTTTTTGCGGATGAAATCATTCGGTTAAATGTTTGTTTAACACAATTGATCTATAAAATACATTACAGTAAAAATTTCAGTTCTATTTTTATCTACTAGATATTACAATTCTTTTATTATTAATAGATCTCTTTACAAACCTCTTTCAAATCTTCTTCTGGCAAAAGTTTTGATCTTTTTCTTTTTTTACATTTACTTTGTAACTGGTTTTCTTCATATCTAACGGATCGAGTTGTTTGATTTTCACGTAAATACTGAGAATTTATTTCGAATAACGTCTCATTAAAAATTAGCTTGCACTGCATATTGGAATCCTTTACGTTTTTATAAGTATCATTAAGGTATTGCAAATGGGATATAATCCACCCTTCTTCTGCAGTGAAAATAATACTCATAGTTGACTCAAATGCACTGGACTATTAATTACAATTACTTATTTTTAATCTGCATATTCCAATCCTACAATTTCCTTTCTTTTGTATACACATCTCATATGGAAATTCGACTGTGAAATGCAGTAGGCTCTTGATAATAGTTCGATGCTTGGGTCTGCTTGTCTGCTCACGAACTCTTCCCGTAGTAGGGGATAATGTTTTAGAGCATTTTAGAGTTCGATGCATTTGGAGGCAATGGTTACAGCATGGTGAACGCGATACAAGCTCGTATTTACACGGCAAGCCATATACATGTGAAGAGAATTTGTATCGTATAATAGAGTGTAACTAACATTGTATGTACACATAAGTTTGTTTCATCTCACTCTCGTTTTTGGCGAAACAAAAGAGATGTAAAATCGTGAAGGCGATAACGACGCGAAGATACATAAATCGTATTGGTATCGAGCAATACCGAGAGTCTATTGCATAAATAGGTCTATTGTATTTATATGTACATTGAATAAGTTCATTGTATACAGATAGGGATAGGTACACCGTTGTTATAGCAACGACATCAGAAAATGGCTGCTGCGTCGAAAAGTTGATAGGTTAGGATAGGTGGTTGTATTATTTTTCTTAGATATTTTCAGATATTTTGGTAGTTAGACAATTCAACGGGAAGTAGGCGAACGTGTTAATAATTGTGAAAGTAAAGAATCACGAATAAGAGTCAAAATGAGGATCGCTGTCGAGGGTTGTGCTCATGGTGAATTAGATATTATTTACGAAACTATTCAAGAAATGGAGAAAGTTGATAAAAAGAAGATAGATTTACTCATTTGCTGTGGAGATTTTCAGTCTACAAGAAATTTAAGCGATCTGAGCTGTATGGCAGTACCTGATAAATATAAAAATATGTGTACCTTCTATAAGTAAGCAATTGATTATATATTATTAATATTAAAGTTTCTTCAAAATTTTCCAGAGAAGTTTTCCAGTCTTTGTTGTTGCATAATTTGAATCAATTGTACAATGTGTTACAGATATTATTCTGGAGAAAAAGTTGCTCCTGTATTAACAATTTTTATTGGAGGCAATCATGAAGCATCAAATTATCTTCAAGAACTATCATATGGTGGATGGGTAGCACCAAATATCTATTATCTTGGATATGCTGGTGTTGTAAAAATTGGTAATATTAGAATTGCTGGGCTATCAGGCATTTATAAAGGTCAGCACTTGATGCAAGGCCATTATGAAAAGCCACCCTACAATGAAAATACAATTAGAAGTGTGTATCACACAAGAAATTTAGATATATTTCGATTGAAACAGGTAATTCAAAAACTAACTTTTTGGTTTATACATTTCACAGTGATTTGAATTTTCAAATGTTGCTTTATTGTGTTCCTTTTTTGTATAGCTCAGTGGCAATATCGATATTTTCTTATCTCATGATTGGCCAGCAGGAAACAAGAATTCCTTACTAGTATAGGTATTTCAATTTTCTTTTATTGCAGAAGTGACATTGAAAATAATATGCTTGGTAGTCCACCAAGTATGGAACTCTTGGAACACCATTATCCAAGTTATTGGTTTGCTGCACACTTACACTGTAAATTTGCAGCTCTTGTTCCTGAGAAAGATGGAACAAGAGTAACTAAATTTTTAGCCCTAGATAAATGTCTTCCGAGAAGAAAATTTCTACAAATACTTGAATTAGAGCATGATCAAAATTTACCACTAAAATTAAATTATGATTTAGAATGGCTGACAATATTATATTTGACGAATCATTTATTAAGCGTAAAAAGTGGTATTCATTATATGCCTGGACAGTATGGTAACAGTAGATGGATATTCACACCCAGTGCAGATGAAAAAGAAAACGTTTTGAAAAGATTTAATCGCAATTTAGAAATTCCATTAAACTTTATACAAACCACAAAGCCATATAATCCTGATGTTTCAGATGCTTCGATTGAACCACCAAAATTATTAATAAATAATCAAACTACACAGTTCTGTAACATTTTAGGGATTGATGATCCATTTATTTTACTACAGTTAATGAGCAATGTAAGAGAATTTAAATCGAATGAATCATTAATAGAAACACCCTATGAACAAGTGTCAGGTTCTATTGATAACTCTGTTTCATTTGAGGAAGATAGTGTTTTGAATTCTACTTTTGATGTTAGCTTAACTGGGGATTCTTTTAATCGAACATCACCATTAAATTTCTCTCCTAAATGTAATAGTGATGAACAAGATCTACAAATAAATAACAGTAAAGAAGCTGTACATGAAAGTTTAAACAGTTTAACATCAACAGTCAATTTAGACTGTAAAAGTGACAGTGAGTGACAATCTGATTGCAAATTACATACAGTGCTGCTTTAGTCACGTAATAAAATTTAATGTTTATATTTCAGGTTCTAAGCATTTTATACAGACTGAACCAAATTGTAAGAAATTTAAACGACGAAATTATTCCATATATTCAAATACACTCTAAATGCAATTCAAATGATTTATTCCAGAATTAAATCTTTTTAGTTACAACATTGTTGTATATAGAGGACATTGATGAATTATGTAAGGGATTATTATGTACAGTAAATTCTCGATGAGTGTACGAAGGCTCCTCGACACTGACAAAAAGAGGTCCCTAGGTCTAACGCTGGCTTTTTAATGAGGTTTAGCACAGTGATAAAGCTTAGAATCATGAAGCCAATGATATTTGTTTCAGCCGCATGTGGCTATTAATTTATGGAACATTTAATTATAAACGATTCACGATTTTACGATTATTGAAATTATAACAATGTTTTTGGCGGAATTTATGTTGGTTTTTAATTTACTACAGATTCTATTTTAGGGTATATTATGCTAGATTGTCTTATATATTCTGTATATTATTGTATTATACAATTTAGTAGTTCTAGTGTTAATCTTCTGTGCCGAGGAGCTTTCGAAAATTCATCGAAGAATTACTGTACATAAATGTGATACTTTTAGGAAATCATTTTCTGATACACAGGAAAACATTACAAATGCTGTTGTATATTTGCTTTTATTTTTATTGAATAAAAGATCTTATTAATAGCTTCTGTTTACTTCTATTATGATCTCTATTGTTTTTATTAATTGTGTAATTATGGTAATTCACTTCTCCGTCGGGTCTGTGCTTTTATTATGAAAATGTATGGTATGCCACCTGGCAACTCGAATATGGTACTAATTAGCGAGGAGTTTGGACGTTTTACCGTAGATGGCATTATAGACATAACAGAATGAAATATTATGATATTAATTAAAAACGCAACATCTAACGATTGTTAACGCGCAGTATTGGCTCGGGAAGTTTAAAAGAAACATCTGACACTGTTGGAAAAAATAAAAAGGACATTACATATTATTAAAGAATATGGTTTAAGAAGTAGTAGTCAATTCGATTAATGACTCTCGTGACTCTTCAGTTACGCAGTGGGGTAGACGTGTGTGAGCGTGGTTATGTTTATTCTCCCAGGGATTATTGTAAAATAAATATGGCATAATGTCATTAGAATAGTAATTTTTGTTAAATTCAGTATATACGTATGTATATACATCGAACCGGAATAAATAGAGCAGTATTAATATAGAATGGATAAGTTAACACTTATTTCGGGGACGTTGTTTCTCGCTGCCGATGTATTTGCAACTGTCAGTCTTGCTATGCCTGACTGGATCATTACGGATGTTGGTGGTGAGTGATTATGAATTATTCACTGTCTATTGTTTTTTACAATACTAATTACTTGATTTCATTGTACTGTTTAGTAATAACAATTATAAACAACAATGTGTATATTTGTTTACGAAATTACACAGCAGACATTATGTATGTGTCTTTCATTCTAAGTGTGTTAAATTCCTTCAATCTTTTATGTGTTATAGGAGATACTAGATTAGGGTTAATGTGGTCTTGTATAACATTGTACAATAGATCTCAAGTGTGTTACAGTCCAGATTTAGAGCCAGAATGGTTGATGGCTCTTGTGTGCATTTTCATTGGTTGCATTTTAATAACTGCAACAATAATCCTGTTAGCTAGTTCTCATTGGGATCGCAATGTTATTCCCTATGCAAGATGGGTAGGATTCACAGCTAGTAAGTACATGTAATATTCTTAATGACTCGATAAGAAATCAATTTATTTCTCTGTTATTGAACTCACAATTGTATTTCAGTGGTATTATTTTGCCTAGCAGCAGTTATATTTCCAATGGGCTTTCACATAGTTCAAATTGGTGGACAACCATATCAATTACCAAACTCTCACCAAGTTGGTAATTCTTATATTCTTTTTGTTCTAGCTTTGTGGATTACAGTAATCTCAGAATTATTTGCAGGCAAAGTTTGTCTCCCACATTTCTAGCATTTTTCATTTTTTAAGTGTATTTCTTACATATGCTTGACTGTTGTAGGATCTATAATATTTATTCTAACTGTATAACACAGTAATTAATAAATATAGTGCAAATTAATAGATTATAAATAAATAGTCAATGGAAATATTACAGGGAACTATGTGTATTGTTTATTTATTAAAATATACCGTTTGATATTAAAATGTGATAATATAATAAATTAAGTGCAAATGTTTAGTACAACATTTTATAATAAATGATAATCAAATCTTCCATAACATATATACATACTTTTATTAATTTCTATAAACCGTAGATATATATTTACATTTCCACAGGAAGTAAATGAAAATTATTACTTTGTATTCTGTCACACAAATTACAACTGTAAAATTTTACTTAAAACATATCTACATTATCTGGTGAATAACATGTAAATATTGTGTGTAAGATATTTTGCAATGGGATTCTATAACTTTGCTGCTTTATTAAATTACTGTTTGCATGTAAAATATAAGCCATAAAAAATATGGTATAATGAAAGAAAGAAAACAATAAAGGTACAAAATCATACATACGTTAACCCAAAGCAAAACAGAACAATTAACATTTTCTTCATACAAAACCAACAACTTCAACTTCCTTAATTTTAATAGATATTTTAATGCGTAAGTATCTTGAAATAATTTAAGCATTTCTATAATTGGAAGGACATAATACAATTAATTACTTGCTCATTGAGTCTAAATTCTTTAAATTACTGTCTCATTAATTTTGTTACAAAAAATAGAAAATATAGTTTTACATGTATGGACATGTATAAAAGGTAAATATATGAATGTTTTTTAATTTTTTCAAAAATTTCACGATTAAAAATGCAAATCTGACACGTACAATGTAGATTTGTACACGAATATGGTGTTTATACAATATGCCTTACTAACGATGTTAGTATTCCACCTTACCAATTATTTCTTTTGTTTAGAAAGTGTTTTTAACAAACTTTTAATCATAACTAAATGAGAAAATAATACTGAAATTAACAAACTGTAAGAGATGAATAAAGTTCCAGCAATTAAGAGATCAGTAAATTATTGTAGAATAAAATGACGAAATTATTGGCAAGCTGGAATTAGTACTTATAAGTGCGGAAGAAGGTTATATACAAAAATAACTTACGGCGTAAGATGTCCTTTTTTTAGATATATATAAAATTTGCATTTCATAGAAATTTTGTCATTAAAGTAGAAAAACTGTTATCTATATTTTCACCTTCTTTTCTACAAAGTTATAATGTATGTTTATCCTCACATATTGTATACTCACAATCAGATAAGAAAGATATGTACAAGAGATCTCGACATTTAATATTCTTTATAAAATGTAATGTGTAAGCGCTTAATCATGTAACTTCAATAGAACTATGAAAGCCAAAATCAAAACTCTTATTCAACTTCAACTTTAACTGTCTTTTTATTTCGTGTACCAAGAAAACTATGCATAAAACTTGTAACAACAATCTTAGTACAAATATTCGATGGAAGTACAGCATGTTAAAAGGAAATAGCATTTTGTTTTTTCCTGATATTGGATAATAAACATTCTCTGTATTTAGATATAAATATCAACAAGAACCGCAAAACTGTAAAAGCTATTCTTCCAAACTGCCTATTTAGACTTAAAAATACAGTTTCATCTAGACGTTTAATGCTCTTCTTTCTAACGTGCTTTACCGCTATTCGACTGATTATTTCCAATAGTGTCGCATCTTCGATAGTATAATAAATATGGAACTCTGGGAGGAGTTGGCTTTAATACGTTACTTTCTGAAACTCCTTTTAGTGAACTGTCATCATACCTGACCCAACCACCGTATCCAACGTGAAAGGCGTCCGTGACGTAATGACCCTTTGTTGCTTCTTTTCCATCATGATAAGTAACAGCAAACAATTTATAGTGTTTTTGCTTGGGATTTAATTTTTTCACAGCATTTGGTGACAAGAATTCTGTAATAAATTATGTTTGGTATACGTTGGGTATGTATCAATTGAAAAACGACGACAATAAATTTACTTACTACTATCTAATTTCAAATCAACTGGAAACTCCACACTTTTCACAATCTTTGAGCAACCATCAAGTTTGTAGTCGAACCATTTTAAGTGTAATATAAGAATGACGGGTAATTCTTCTAAGGTAACTTGTTTCCAGGCCTCTATTTGTTGTTTTGTTTTACTACACGTCATTCCTTCTAATTGGTCTTTTCCAACCAGAATTTCGAGTGCGCCTTTCACGGATACAGCTTTCTAAAAATTAATCGACTGATTAATGATACCATTATTGTGAAATAGTTACACACAAGTTAACGATACCATTACTTATGATACTTTAATGATACCATTACAAGTTATTAAAAAAAAAAAAAAAAAAATAAGTACCTCAATATCAAGTTGTAACGTAAAAAAAGGTTGAACGTTATCTGTTGGCTGTTCTCCTGCTCGTGATACTCTAGACCTCAATTGTCCGCGGAATATATCAGATAATGGTGTTCTACCGAATTCGGTACATCGTGTGATAGATCCTTTATTTTTTGGGCCCATTACCTAAAGTATAATGATATTAATATTTGTCTCTTGCAGCCAGTTATTAAAATATTAAAATACTTATAAGGTGGTCTTACCTTCCACTCTTCTTCTCCGTTGTTATAATTTATATTAGTTTCAACATTAGTCGTTACGTTTTGGTCGTTATTTATTAATTTAATAAGCTGGAATAAATAATTGTTGGTTACTTAAGTTGTAGCGCTTAGATCTCGATTAAAATGTATGATATATTCGTACTTCAAGCATTTCATCATTGATACCATTCAGAAGGCACGAAAGGAATTCTTCTGCATCTTCTTGACGCCCTTCCACAGAAAATACACCCGCGGCTGATGTATTCTTCAACATTGTATATACATAAGAAGGTTCAAAGGCCACTCCACTTTGTATGTCTACTACCGTATCTTCTCCCCGTTTGTTTGCTCTATCTTTTCTAGCCAATCGTGCACCATCCGATAGGGGTGTAAATTCATATACAAATTTGATCCTATATGAAAAAAAAGTTGCACAGTTATTAAAATTATTGTAATTGAAAGCAACAATGATATTTCTGTGGGCTACAAGAAATTTTACTTACATATTGTCGATAAGTGGAGTGGAAGACATTTTACTGGGATTTTTAGAATGTGGTAGAGCCATTAAAAGATTATAAAAAGGTGGACAAGCTAGCAAAGCTTGTAATATACTATTGATGTAACAATAATTGCTACGATTTGTTAATCCTCGTGGTAATAAACTTACGGTTTGTTTATCCATTTGATAATTCAATAAAAATTCTGAAAAAATGTATTACAAAAAATAATTAATACGTAACAAGATACATATTTGTTAGATTCGTTTAAATAATACTTACCGCCCATTCGATAAGCGATAGGATCATTATAACGATTCTGCAATGATTCTGCTTGTGTGTTCTTATTTTCATTTACAATGTTTTGAGAACTAGATGGTGAATTATCATTTGTAAAATCTGGTCTACTAGTACAGTGATCTTTTTCGGACTGTGACAGTACTTTTGGGGTCATATTATTTTCTGTAATTGGGCTAGCAGGTAAAGGATTAATGCGTGCCATAGGTTTGTAATTTGATGGAGTCAATTGGGTATCTGTGTTTCCTTTTTTCAGGACACTAGCCCACGATATACTAGATGCACCTGAAGGTGATACAGTGGAAACAGCTATTGGAGTAGTAGTAGTAACAGAAGTACTGATTGGTATTTTAGTGACAATTTCATCCTGCATACTCTTGACAGATGTATCCTCTTTTTGTGCTTCATTTTCTCCTTTAGAAATTGGTTTTGACAACGTCTTAACAACAGTAGTTTTGATACTAGAAACAGTTTCATTCTTATACTCCTTATCAGTTTCTCCGTTTTGTTTTACTTCAATGCTACTATTAATATTTACGCATGGCACATCATTCTTTTCAGCTCCGTTACAATTTTCATTCACGGTTGATACAATATTGTGTTCTATTTTCACATTTACAGGGGGTACTTTTCCATTTGCATTGGAATTCTTTCTGATGGCAGTATTATTGTCCACGTTATCAGTGCACTGTTCGACTTTACTATTATTCACAGTTATTACTGTAGTAACTATATTGGTCTGAGAAGAGTTATCCTCTTCATTTATTTGATGAAATGGTTGTTTGACAGGTGTGTAGACATTTTGCACTCGTTTCTCGTGCGATTTTGTGGTTTGTATTTTTGTACAGTCTTGAGCAGGCTGTGAAAGTACCGGTGCTGGTTGTCGAATACATCTCATATTATTAGATGGAGGATGATATGGAGGATATCCATATGTGGGCTGTGCATGTGGATGTGTGCTTGTGTGTGTATGAAGATTCGGTTGATATATTGCTAATGGAGGATAGTGTACATGGCCTGAGAATTGTTGTTGTTGGGCTTGATCTGGATACATAACGACAAAAGATAATTGTGGATGAAATTGTCCTTGTTCTCCCATGTATCCTGGTTGCATTTCATTTGCAGGATTCATTCCACGACTAAAATTGTCTCTCCTTATACCTCTTCCTCTATTATTTCTTCTATTATTTTCTCTATTACAGTTGACATCATGAATTTCACCTCCAAGATTATATCCAGGATGAGAATAAGTAATGGCAGGCAAGAATGGTTGTATATGAGCATCTGTTGGAACTGGGTACATAGGTGGCCCTTGCCATTCGTTGCACATTATTTGTTGTGTATATGAAGGTGGTGGTGGTATTGCTATACAAGATATAAGATTATGTTATAAGTTGCTATATATATACATAAAACATAAATAGTTGTATGAAATTATCATTTCGTATAATGCAATTACCATTATGATACCATTGATTTTGTATCTGTGGAATCTCTGCTATAGAAGCATTGATATCATTGTTGGTCTCAACTATATCCCATGGCAACTTTAAGGCATCTGTAGTAATATTGGATTTCAAAATACTTATTAAATGATCCTTATCATTATCATTTAAATCATCTAAATCCAAAAATTGAAAATCAAGCTGAAACAATATAACATAATAATTAAGATACTGTGCATTGGCACAAGAATTAATTTGAGTTTTAGAGAAAAAATTGTTTATGGTAACAAGAGTATACGCATAAAAATGTTACATAGTAAGAGATACACAGTATTCATAAATAATTTTAGGTCAATCAATAAATATTCAGCAGTGTCACCCCATGATAATCTATTTATTTATGAGTAAGCATGCACTGTTATTCTTCATTCATTAATTCTTAACAAAATTCTTGTATGCCAAATGTGAATGACAATGAAAACTAATATAAAATAACAATGGCCTACACAATAACGTATAATGTTACTAATAACTGTATCTTTTTCCAATGTGTACACAATATATTACATTGTTCATACTTAAACAAGATTTTTCATTGTCTATATTTTACGATATAATCAACGAGACTTTCAATTTTAATATGTAACCATAAATCTAACCTGAAATCCACGACACACAGTACGAACATTGAATATAATTATAACTTTTCTAAGTTTCGTGTTAAACGGGTATGCAAGAAAATCGTACCTCATTTCGAAAATCCATGGTTAAATCCAAGCGCGGTATAAAACATTAAAAACAATACCAGCAGAGAGACATGAGGCTCCGGTGATTTGTGTCGGCAACGAAAAGGTTCAACGTCGGAGTTAACACTAATTTTGCTTTTTATTTTCGCGAAAATCACGTGAAGAAGGTGGTCGACAGGCAAAATACAATCTTTGTATTGTTTTTGTGCAACAATGATATGGAAGCGGGAAGTACGGACTGTTAACAAATTACACAATATGAACGATCATATTTCGGCAGTTGTGTAAAAATGGGCCAAGCACGTTGCTCTACTGCTGGTTCCTTCTCTCTGCGAGATTGGCGTCGCCACTATCATTACTGCTTTGCAGGGATATCCATTGAAACAGACTTTCCCGCTCTCTCGTTTTTTGTCTATTTTTCTACCGTTTAACAGCGAAAAATCGAAATACGTAGCCACGATAGAAATGAGCATTAACTTTTAAACGGAACTGCAAACTGCAATACGTTGAAATAATTTTTATAAGTTTTCATATGTAACAATGGTTGCCTACTTATAGGACAATTCAAGTGGTTCTTCTCTATTATCTATTTTTCACTTCATTATGTCTATCAATTATTCATCGAAAGCGTTATGCATATATGCAATACATAGATTATGTATTTTAAGGTTCAGAAGGACATATATTTGTCGTTAAGCGATGCACGAGATTTAGAATAACGTTTCTGTTGTTAGGTCAGATTAGGAGAGACAATAATATACGTTGTCATGCTCGTGAGGAAGCTAGCTTAGTCGCTTTTCTTCCAGAACACTGAATTTCACCCTCAATAGTCGAAAGCAGGACCTACACTTTGGGAAGATCATACACTTCTAGATATGAAACTCTCGGTACGAAGGCTTGAGGTCTTGCTTCTAATCTCTGAACGCATGTATTATGTATGGGCTGACTCGATACACTATCTGTTTAACCATGTTCCCATGTTGAAAATCGTTCTTCCTTCTACATTTTGATAGGTGCACAGGATAGAGTTTAAAGGGTGTATGTATTGATAGCATTAAAGACGAGCAGTGTCGCATATTTTTCATATTGGACGAAAAGTTAATATTACGAAAAATTACAACATACTTTTTTATCGACCGATTCTCTGTTCAGTTCGCAGCGCCTGTCGATAAACTATCAAGCTTGCATTGAATCCCGCATAGTGGCCGAGCGCACTTGTCCAGGGCGGTATTCTTCGATCGTTCATTCTGTTACATGTGTGTTTAAACCTACTCACAGGCTTACTAAAGTTAAAAAACAAAAATGAATTAGCCGCGGGAGAAAAAGTTGAATATTTCCCATGATGATCCACGTGTATGCAGTCTAAGAATCATTGTCCACTAACATACTTGAAGCATTGTCTTCTAATAAGTTTTCAAACGTCACGTGCCCGATTCTCGAAGGAGGTGAGTGGTGTTAACCTTATTTCAAAATTGAAATGTTGTAAATGAGAATTATCGTTTGATCAAAAGCCGAACAAAAAATTTATTCTTTAGTCCCGTTCGTTGCTCGCTACACGACAACGGACGCTAAAAATCTCGTTGGTAGTTAGTACATATGTACATATGTACATATTTCCTTCCATGGCCTAGATACGAAACGCTTTTATACGTCATTTACGATATTTATGTTATGCACCGTCGGCAGCGTGTACGACCTTACGTTTAGTTTATATCCTGTCGCCACGAGGTGCGAGTAAAAAATAGCAACACTTTTTTATTGCGCGATCGTATCGGCAGCTTGCGGCACGCATCGAAGATTGCGTTATGAAATAACGTGCCTGCGGAAGAATGCTTTCAAAGTAGTATACAGATCGTTTCAAAACTCAGGATACTATTCAGGCACGGTGAATTCTGTGCAGAATAGACAGTTCACACGCGCATAGCAGTGTATTCATACAAACATCCGAGCTTTACTATCCGCGATTGAATTTCTTCTCGTTGCTATCGGTTTACTGTATTCCTAAATTATGTTTTTATGATTTGTACCTCGTGTTTTGAAGCATTCTATAGTGTTGCCCGTGCGTTTCTTCGCGACCGTGTGTCGCATGCAACTCTTTCGGTCGAACTTTTACCGCAACTCTTCGGGGCTTTAGTACATTAAATCGAATCGTCACCGATTTTCTAGCGGATCATTGATATTATTTTTTCGTTTATTTTTCTCGCATTTGAATAGAATTCAGAGGGGACAGAGTTCACCGATGTAACTAACGCGTTTCAAGTCGATACAACTGCAGGGGCATAAGTTGTCGGTTTTACAGGTGAAACGCGTTTAAGGCCGCGTTGAGTGACAAATAAATATGCTAATGGGTATTGGGGAAACTTGAAATGCCGCGCATCTTAGCTTTTGCGCCGCATCGAAAGAAGAAAGTTAAGCCAAGTTGCGGCTCGGTTCGAAGGAAGGTGCCGTCGAATGGCCACGAACAGTGGAACAGGAGAGGAAAAAGAGGGACAAGCCTGAGGGGGAACGTCGAGGAAGATGGGACCGGAGTTCTCTTAAATAATAGAAAATTCAGAGGAAGTTGATAAGCCAGGCCGCGTTCAAACTTTTCACTCGGCGCCTTCCATTTCTTATTATAATGAATGCATATCGGCTTAGCCGAAGCTGGAGAGCTACGACCATAAGAACCCTTTTGCAGTTTTTGCGGTCCATATTCCTTACCTCGTGTTGTAGGTAATACCATTGATTTAAATACCTTTACGCGTCACCTCAACGATTCTTCTGGTGGTAGGTTCTGAGCGTAGAATTTCTCCCTTGAGGTATAGATATGTCTTTGGAAAAAATACATGTAAACGGCCGTCAGAACAAAGTTATCGCGGGTTAGGGTAGTTCTCGGCGAGAGTTTAATTCGAAATGTCAGTGGCAGATTGCGTTCGTCGAAGCACATGTGGCCAATCGACGTCTGGCGAAATCGTGTTCGTATATATATACATATATATGTATATCTACCCAGGCACACATCGACCACAACGCGGTATATATATATTTGGCTACTATTGTTACTCGCGGACAACGGCGTGTCTTTCGATGTGACGGCTGCACAGCCGACGTCCCGGAACGCGAATCGCCATTTTTGTTCCGGATCGATCGCGTATGTCCCGTATATATTATAATAATCATTACCATTAAAAAGCGTTCACTTTTCGCGTTCGCAGCATAGCCATCTCCGAAAGTACATCGAACAAAAACCATTAAAATTCGAGTCACTCGAAATGATTATTCTGCGAACGCATTCGACGGAACGGAAAATAAATTTCTTAAGGAGGGAAAATTATGCCGAAAGTTTCTGCGTGGCGATGCAGCCTAACGGGGTTGCTTTATTAACGGGGCTGGGAGGCAATAAAATCCACGGAGACAAATGGCCTCGGTCCCGTTAAATCATCGCGAAAAAGTTAGCAATTTAATAAGCAATTTCATGGAAATACCGCCGTGATCGTTACCGTAACGAGCATCTCGATACAATTTTCTCGGGTATTCTTGTCCTGCCCGATAAATTATATCGTTTAAGGGCAGATATCGAGATGTCTCCTATACGTATGGCGCGGCTCTTTGATTCACCGTGACGCGGTGCTCGCTTTGTTATTCCCTCGCGTCGTCGTCGTGGATTCGGGGGAAACATTTCTAGGATGATACGAGCCAGATAAAATATTCGCGAGCGGTGGGGGATAAATGTAAGTCGCTCGACAGGGATCGTCTTAAGCGGAGGGCACGTTTTTCAGGCGAGATGCTCGTTGATCCTTCGTTGATTCCGCTTTTTATCCCTCCGAATCGATCATCCGTCGTCCATCTCGCCCTCGCGTCGATGCTACCCACTACGCGTCTCTGTATACACGAGAATTCGCGTGACGTGTATCCCCACGTCACCACGGCAGACGAGATCCGAATACCATGGGACGTTTCTCTTAAACCGGGGATAAACAGGCTATCAAGAATTATTCGATTTCGTTGGATTTATTAGGATGGATTGCGATCAAACGAACACATTTTCCACATATTCCACGTACCTCAAGAACATCGGTTCGGTTCCGTTTCCATTTATTTATATCACGATCATGACGTAGATTGCCATTGTTGGTACGCATTATTTATATTCCGCGTCCTTATTAACCGTTGGTATTCCGTTCAATTGTAAAGCGTTTACCTCGTACATCTACGATGGAAAAAGCTCTCAGCAGGCGTGTCTGTGCTCACTGTCGATTCATCTCTTCTGTCCACGTACGATCAGTGTTACTTAACGATCGATTATCAATACCGTCAGCGTCATTGTCCGGGTCCAAGGTTTACGTTGGATCGGTTCTTTCGTTGGTCGTTGGCGTCGAATCGTGTCTCTAATCGGTGTCGAGAAATATTCGCGTCTAAGGGGGGGGGTTGGAATTCGACGACGAAGCTTTCAAAAGCTCAGAAACCGCGTTATACGCCTCTAAGTATGTATTATATGGGCGTCATGCACACAACGCGTACACTGCAACGCCGTGATGGGTGTATACGCGTGTATATATGTATGCATGCACGAGAGCAAGAGGGAAAGACCAAAGCGTATGGTTGAATGGTTCGATATGCGGAGGACGGAGCGTGCCTCTTTGCGCAACCCCGAAAGCAATATATCGATGTTTAGCAACCAATAAACGGATCCCTCAAAGAGGGCTTTTACCGTAAAGCGCCGGGTGCTTCGACGTCTCGTTCCTTCCATAGATGCCTGCACCACGCAAACGTTCGTCCACGAGCGTGTACGTGTACACGATTGCGGGACAGTGTGCGGGCGCGCGTTAACGCTGGCAACCGAAGCACTCCGCTTTTATGGCTCAAAGTAAACGCATTTATAGAGCCGTTTTGCCGCCACCGGATCGGCGTAACCTCGCGACCGACCATTTAACGCCGTTTTTATGATAATGTTATCAATAGCTCGCGACCCTCCTTGCTCTTCCGCGATCAACTGCCCCCATTTGCCGATTATTTACGACGCCCGTTGCTGTCACTCGCGTGTTCCGCGAGGCCACGTGAACAGCTTTTTTCACCACGACTTGCATCATTTTCGACGAGCGTTAAACCAGTGCGCGTTTAAGGACTGTCTTTCGACCCAGAAGACGAATTACAATTTACACCCCTCGAACGAATCGTTGATGGTACCGAGAGGCTGCTAATCGAAGAACTAATAGCGACGTGGTATCAAAATTACGTAACGAGCAGAAGGGAATTAAGTAGGAAAACTGAATTACTTTTTGTCGGACAGCTCAGACGAACCGTGTTTTTACGCTTGTA